TGCCAGCATAAATTTAAGTGTAACATTAATGACTAGATTCTTCTATGTATGAACCAACAACTTTACAAGAATGTCAAGTGAAGTAAAGGACACCAGGGGCTCATAGTGTACTTCGAAAGATCCTTTAACAATATGACACTACTAGATAGATATGCTGACCAACCAATGCCACCTACTAAGAAGACTAACAATTCATCTAGTCTTCCACATCTGACTCCTAAAATCATAGAGGCAAAGAAAGCAAACACATTGATGAATTGTCCTAAGCAGACACTACTAATGGTGCATCCCAACTTTTATGGCAACACAAAGGCACTCTTGAGGAAAAAAATATGTGAGTGACACAATATTCATGTGGGAGAGTGAAATTTGGGACTAAGTCTACATGACATGAATTTTGATGAAGAAACCAAGCTCTAAATCCATAGTAGTTACTTTTGATGAGTTAGTTGTCACAAGTATTTTGATGATAATCACATCATATTGGATAAATTAATAATTTGGCTAAGTATTAATTTGAATTATTTATTCATATTAAGATATTAAATGTTTCTAGTTAAGTTTAGGTGGTATGATAAATTAGGACACATAATTTGAGTAATTTCTATGAATAATAATATAAAATAGTCTTGTATTTTATCCTCATTTATTTTAGTTTAAATTAAGTTGAAATTGATTTAGTTGCTGATTTTTAATTCAAGTTCAAAATGATTTGATTATTAGACAAAGACTAAAGGTGAATTAGTCTGATTATTGAGCCTAATGTTAAAGGAGTAATGGACCCTATTATTAGCCTAATATTAAGGATTTAAAATATTATATCTTGATTGATCCTTGGGTGACACAAGGGTCACAAGGAAACTCTTCCTCCCTATCTTTGGTTTCTGTTAGGTGACATAGCAGAGGAAAAAGGACCCCCTACCATCTTCCTACCATTTAATTTTAATTGGAGATTTGACCTTAATATGTTTTCGTCCTCAATTGATCCTTACATGACAGAAGGATCAAAGGGAGACTCTTCCCCTCTATCCTCACTCTCTACTTTGTGATAAAACAAAGAATAAGAACTTCCCATTATTTTCCTTATTTGTTTTTTGGTAACTTCATTTCTAGCTCATATTTTTTCCTTTGCTAATCCTTGCTTGACTCCTTGTACTCTTCCCATTTAGAATTTTTATTTCATATTTAATTTTTTTATGAAGAAAATAATTCCTCAATCTCATCAACAGAAGTTTCAGTCATAGATCCATTGATATGTACCTCATTTTTCAGGGTCATTAAGCATGTATTTCCAATCCTTTCTCTTTCTAACTCAAAAGAAAAACTCTCTTCGTTCCTCCATGTACCTATCATCACCCTCTTCTTTTTGTACCTCTTCAGCAGCATGCAATTCGTCTTGAAGCACCTTACCTTCTAACATTTGTAGTAAGCCACTTCATTTTCTTTTATTATTCAAGATTTTGTTTATCAGAATTTGTGAACGTTTTTGTCAACTTGATTTGACACCTTTCCCAAGAGATAATGCTTAAATATTTTGACTATTAATAGTAAAATTTCATCTTCATCACGTTCAGTGGAAATACTAAATGATTCTTCACCTTTGAAAGCAAGACTTCTTAGACTGTTTGTCTGAAAATTCTGAGTATGTACTAAGTAAGTTCATATGGTAATGAAGATTCCATGAGCTCGTCTAGTGATAGTTTTGCCTAGTTTCTTGCCTCCTAAATCTCAGTGGGCTATGACTTCCAATTTGAAGTAATAGATCTCAAAAGTTTTCTATTTATTTCTGAAATGGTATATTCTTTTCCTAGTTTATTGAGAACATCTAACCTACTCCACCCTTTGAAGATAGACGTTATCTACTAAATGGAAGGGCTCAACTCTCACCAAGTTTCACAGGAAACTTTTCCTAAATGGAAGGTTAAAATTTAGGCGAGAGTTATTGTGGGCTTGATCATGATTGATCTTTTTGGTCTTCATATGCTCAAGGACAACAATCTAATATTGACTCTAAGGAAGAAAATGTTGAGGGCATGCGCAGCTCCTCTTTTTGAATTTCCTTTCCTCTTGCTCACTCAATAACTCTTATGGGCCAAAGGCCTTCTTTGATATACAATTTATTGGGCTCCAATGGTCGTTTCAATGGCTAGTTGGATGGTGTTTACTGGGTTGCACGTGCACTTAGAAATCCACTAAATACACCCTTTTATCTTGTAAAATTCATAATAATTTCAACTCAGCAAATTTGAACGCATTATTTGTTCCATCATGTTGCTTTTTAGATAAGATTTTCAACAAGATATCTGCCCATACCTATGACATCATCTTGCAAATAAAAAACATTTTACTCATTTATGTTACAAAATTTAGACTATTTTGCCCTTCATCTATATTCAATACTTTTATTCACTTTAATTAAATTATTTCAAATCACATGTTTATCATAACAGAAAATTACCATTCATAATTATCAAATTAATTTTTTTTCATCATCCAGACATTTAAAGCTCTTCAAAGCCAACAATAATGTCCTTCTAGTAGTCACTTGTCTTTTCATTTTATAATCAATGCATGATTTCTCTAGTTTTTTATTTGTACAATTTTTGAAGTGCCTTCTCAAGGGATTCATTACTTAGATTTTGAAAAATGAATCCCTCAATAAATGTGTCCTCTATACCATGTGTAAGGTATAATCAAGACAAGATTATCAAGGGCCTTGGTAAATCTATGTATGGTTTCATCCTTCATGCAAGATCCCACATAGGTCTAGAAAAAAAATTCGTGGTATAGGGATCAGAAATCTTACAACTTAGGACTTCATCCCCTGCCCCCCTACATTGAAAGAAATTTAATAGTATTCTTAAATTCGCCCATGTATATGGTGGAACAATCAACATTTTTACCTCAAGTAACCTCAATACATAATCTATTGACTTTAGGCTTCAATGTTTGAAATTCACTATGACTACTTTTTTGGGCTGACAGAGTTCTATCGGATTATTACTCTACCTTGGTTATTTCAGCTCCTCTCTCTAGTGACATAAAAGTTTATGTGATACATGTTGAGAAAGTAACAAGAACCTTTTTAAGTTTTGGCATTTGTAACCTTTAGGCTTTGAAAATACAAGATAAAATTATTTATATCCTTCACAAAACTTTGAATATAGTCAATCATATAAAAAAATTAAATGTCAATAATGTTAGACGTCAAGAACCAAGAAAATTCAGAGAAGTTGGTCAAGTGACGTTCTTCTATATTGTAAATTAGAGGTTCACAAGCTTAAGAGTTGCAAGTTTTATTCCTCTTTTATTATTTTCAAATTGAATTTGATATTAGCTTAACCTACATTGATGTGAGCATTAAGCTCAATGTAGTCATTACATGGATTTTATTCTATACATGAGACAACTTTCACATGACTTGAATGTTTGGTTTATTGAAGAACATTTCCTATCAAGTATAATTCAGTTCCCCATATATGTGATTGATAGATAACATTGCATGATGTTGTAAAATTAAGGAGTTTAATAGCATTGGCCACTAGTGTTGGATAAAATCAATACTAATTTCTAGTATTATGCTTCTTCTAATTAGCTGAATATCTAGATCATTCTTAGATTATAACTAAGTGGAGAAAAATAAAGGGCCGCCAGCTATTAATGTTGATAATGCCTTGCCTGTTTATCAAACTAATGTTCCATGATAGATATCTTTGGTCAATGTCACACCATTAAAATTCCACATTTAAGATTAGGATATCCAGAATTGACTCTTCTTCAGTCAACTTTTGGTGGAATCTCAGTAGGAAACCATTTATAACTCTTTCATGACTAGCAAGTCCCTAATTGAATGGCATAATATGGTAGTCTACAAGAGCCACCTCAAAGAACCCCTCCCTCCAGGCCTCAAAAGCCTCATAGTTTGTGGGCCCAAGCAAGCCGAGGCCCCACAAGCCATAGACTCAGCCCCAAGAGTCCAACACGGTAACCAGACCCACCCCAACTACCCCCAAATATCTTAGAAGAGAGGTAACGGTGCGGAGGGGTTACGGTGATCTTTCTGTCGAGAGGAGGATCCACTGGGAAAAGGGTGAGAGGGCCTTTCCGACCTGCCCGCCGAGGGTACGAGTGCAGAGCTCGTACTAGGGGTGCCCCTCACGTGCCCACTCGGCGTTTCCAGTTACCGGGAGGTGTCTCAATCCGACATCGCATCCCAAGGCTCTGCCGGGCTTACGACGCTGGCAAGCGATCAACGCCGGGCCGTACCGTCTTCGCCTCCCTGACAGATCCCGCTCCTCGACTGACTCCGTTAGCGAGCCAGAGAGAGAGAGAGAGAGAGAGAGAGAAGGGAGAATAGAGGAGAGAGAGAAGAGAACCTTTTGGGCGTTAATGTGAATACTCAGTCGTACAGGTGGGTGACAACGGCTGCAGACGCTGCAGGCCTGGGAAGTTTTGAAAACACGGTTAGAGAGAGAGAGGAGAGAGAAACATGTTGGGAACGTAAGATGGCAGGGTAGTGGACATTCCCTTTCGCAGAGAGAGTTACGAAGCATTCACAGCCCCCCCTCCGAACCGCCGGCGACGGCCGCTGGGACGCTTAACTCCTCTCTCTCTCTCTCTCTCTCTAAATTCCTCTCTTTCTCAATTCCTCTCTCTCTCTCTATTACTTCTCAGCTCTCGCCTCACACCAACCTACGAGCAAGACGACTTCCTCGAGTCCCCAATTTCTGCTCCCTACCAAAGGAAAGGTAATCAAGGGAGGGAGATAGGAGTTAAGAGAGAGAGAGAGAGAGAGAGAGAGAGAGAGGCTTCTGCTGAGTTCCTCCCTCCCTCGCAATCTCCGTTCTTGGCTGCCTGCATGGTTGGGTTTGCTGAATTCCTACGATTTATCGTCCTCAAACCCTTTTTTTCCTGTGATTTTAGGAGAGAGAAAAGGCGATATTTTCTAAATTCCACGAGGGAGGAGGGAGAAGGAAGGGATACAGGGAGGGCGGCGCCGCCTACCCGAGCCTCAGCCGGAGAGGTCTGAGCACCTCCTCCTCCTCCTCCTCCGCCGCCGCCGCAACGGTCGTCTCCTCCTCTCCCTGCAAGAGCGCTGCCACCGCCTCTAAGCTGGGCCCCACCACGTCCCTCTCCCAGGCCGCCTCCACGTCGGCCCTCCCCCTCCCCTCCAGCGCCGCCGCCACAGCCGCCGTCGCGTCCAGCCGCCGCAGCCGCCATCCCGCCGCCCACAGCCGCCAGATCTTCCGCACCTGCACGTCCGCCAGCCGCCGCGTGTTCAACTTGATCTCCTCCACCGCCGCCCTGTACGCCGCAGCCGCCCCCGGGCCGCCGCCCACAGCCGCCCCCGGCGAGAACCTCTCGAAGTAGCGGTCGAACTCGGGGACTCCGATGGCCCGCCAGGGCCCCACGTATCCCCCCTGCCCCCGCTGCCGACACGGGTCGTAGTTCGCCGCCAGCTCCTCGAACATCCCGGCCGCCAGCATCTCCTCCACGCGCCGGTCTAAATGCTCGTACAGCGCCGCCGCTGACACGTCGACCCACAGCAGGCACCCCCTGTACCGCAGCCTCGCCGGCGGCGCAGGTGGCGGCGCCCCCAGTGAGAGAGGGCGCCGGTAGTCCTCGACCATGAGCGCGTGGATGAAGGAGTTTGACCCGCCGGCGACGATGGGGAGCCGCCGGCGGGCGGCGATGTCAGCGACAGCGGCGCCGCCGAGCGACCGGAACCCGGCGGCGGAGAGCTCCCCCGCCGCCGGGTCGAGCTCCCCGAGTAGGTGGTGCCGAACGCCACAGCGCTCGGCGGCGGTGATCTTATTCGTCGTCAAGTCGAGGCCGGCGTAGACCTGCATCTTGTCGGAGTTGACCACCTCCGCCGGCGGCATCCGCACCGCCAGGTCGATGGAGAGCTTTGACTTCCCCGTCCCCGTCGCCCCCATGATCACCACCACCTTCTCCCTCTTCCCCCCGCCGCGCGCCGCAGCCTGGTACTCCGAGGTGCTGCTGCAGCAGCTGCCTCCCCATTCGGCCGCGCATCGCCGGCTAGAGAGAACCCTCCTCATAGAGCCGCCAATTTTTCGCCGGCCGCGAACCAAGACGACGGTCGCCGGCGGCGGCGGCGGCGAGCGGCGGAGTAGTGGTGGCGGCCGCCTGTTCTGGTCTCGTTCTCCGCCGCGAGGCCACCCATTAGATATATTTATAACTGCACCGGGTCCCTGGAGGGAGCCCATGCGCGTAATTTATAATTTTGTGCGCGGGGATGCCGCACAGCTTCAGTTCCCGGGTAGTGAATAATAATTTACCCTGCTCGGGGGTGGGGGCGTTGACAACAACCAGGCTTGAGATATAATTTCGTCGCCGTCTCAGTGGGCCTCCCACGCGTAGTTCAACGCGAGTCCGGACGAAACGACCTGGGAGATTCCCAGCAGGCAGACGCCAAGGCCCAACGCGGCGGCGGCGGAGGTGGCGGCGGGGCAGTCAGCACAAGAAAGGAGACAAGTGTTCGACGCTTGGTGTCAAAAGGCGTGGCTGGTCCTCGCCGGAGGGCATTTCGTCGAGCAGCAGCTGAAGCTGCTCTGGTGCTCCGACTCCACGACTGCGGGAGATCTCTTGCTCGCGTTCAGCTGCGCCGGTGTGGGGAAGCTGTGAGGTACACTCCCTCTCTCTCTCTCTCTCCCAATCTCTCCCTCCCTCTCTCCCTTCCTCTCTCTCTCTCTCTCCCTCCCTCTCTCTCTCCCTATCTCTCCCTCCCTCCCTTCCTCTCTCTCTCTCCCTATCTCTCCCTCCCTCCTTCCTCTCTCTCTCCCTATCTCTCCCTCCCTCCCTTCCTCTCTCTCTCTCTCTCTCTCCCAATCTCTCCCTCCATCTCTCTCTCCCTATCTCTCCCTCCCTTCCTCTCTCTCTCTCTCCCTCCCTCTCCCTCTCTTCCTCCCTCCCTCCCTCTCTCTCCCTCCCTCTCCCTCTCTTTCTCCCTCCCTCCCTCTCTCTCCCTCCCTCTCCCTCCTTCCTCCCTCCCTCCCTCTCTCCCTCCTCTCTCCCTTCCTCCCTCCTCTTCCTCCTTCCTCCTCCCTATCTCTCTCCCTTTCTCTCTCTCTCTCTCCTCTCTCTCTCTCTCTCTCTCTCTCTCTCCCCTCTTCCTCTCCTCCTATCTCTCTCCCTCCTCTTCCTCCTTCCTCCTCCCTATCTCTCTCCCTCCCTCTTCCTCCCTTCCTCCCTCCCTATCTCTCTCCTCCTCCCTCCCTCTCTCTCTCTCTCTCTCTCTCTCTCTCTCTCTCTCTCCCTCGCTCACTCTCTCTCTCCCTTTCGTCTCTGCAGGACCTTTGGCAGGAGAAACTAGGGTTTCAACCCGGCTTTGCTACAGTTGCTCTCTTTCGCTCTCTCTCGTTCTACCTCTCCACGCCAGAATACTCTGTCAGGCCACTATATATTTTCTATTTACATATTTTTAGTACTGTCAACAATTAGGACTCTCATGGAACCTCCCCCGACAATTTTCCCCACCTTTCCGTAGTAATAAATGTAAATGTGCACGTGTGCTCAGACCACACGGTGCTCCACTCGTGGGAATGATCTCACTGACGATTTTTCTCAAGAATTTATCAAATGAATGTCATTTATGTATATAAATATTATCATGCGAGGGTGGTGCAACTCCGGAAGCATGGAGAGAGAGAACGTTGTCCTGTGGGCATTCATGGTATCCTTGTTTATCACTCTATCCGACAGGGACCTCCCATGCCAAGGGGCCTGTTAATATCTTGAGAACCTTGACCTCTCTCTCTCTCTCTCTCTCTTATTATCTATCTATCTATCTATCTATCTATCTATCTATCTATCTATCTCACTCATATTCTTTCTCCCTCTATCTCTAGCAAAGTCAGCGAGATCGTCATCTGAATGGGAGGAGGAGTCCGTCGCCCACACGTCAAGAGGATTCGGGGCTAATGAGATTATTTATGGATATGCTTGTTGATTTCCCAGAGTAATTAATTGGATATAATTTATGCGGGTATCCCGTCTTGGTCACTGTCAGGGAGGATCAAAATCGAACGGCAGGTTCAGCGGCGAAGAATCTCACCGCGGTGGGAGATCAGACCGGCTGAGTCGGCCCATCCAAGCCATTAATCGGACATTTTGGTCAGCCTGAGGGGACGGAATTGGCCCATAAATATAAATAACACGTATTTAAAAGGCCGGCAAGAGCGCCTGATTTTATGTGCCTCGGTCTATTCCGCCATTAAAAGTATTAATTTTTACCCCGTGAAAAAGTCAACTCCATAGTTATAGTGTTGACCACGGTTCATCTGAATCGGGATTGGCCAATTGTGATAAGGTTGCTGTCTTTTTAGCCGCAAAAAGGACCGAAATGCCCCCGCCACCCTCCGATGGACCAATTCGATGGTCGTCATCGCGGGCTTTGTCGTGATCAATCAGAGCTGAGGGAGCCTCGCGTTAGCTTGGGCGTTCTTATGAGAGAGGACTGCGCGCGTCTCCATCACAAGCCCAGTTGAGGAAATCTCTTAAATACCTTTTTTTCTTTTTTTTCTTTTTTTCTTTTTTCTTTTTCCTTTTCCCTTGCAAAATCCAAGAACAGCCTCCCCCCCAACCCCACCACCACCCTCGTTTATTTTTATTTTATAATAAATAAATAAAAATAAAATGCTATTTGGGGGTTGTAGCTACAAATTTGGAATCTATAGTAACCATACGGGTTTTTTAATGGGGAATTCTCAGATATATATATTTTCACCTTGGGGAATCCAAGTAAGAAGAGCCTCTCCTCCCTCCCTCTCAGATATATATTTTAAAATTTCTCTTGATTTTTTAAAATACATTTTAACGCTATTAATAGGAAATAATGGATAGTATATATCCCCAAGAAAATTTACAGGCAAGATGAGTATTTTTAATAGAAATTATGAAATATGTAATTTCCCCATGGCGAATCCAAGTAAGAAGAGCTCCCTCCCCCCTCCCCCAAGCCCCTTGTTGATATTTTTTAGATACATTTTAGTGCTATAAATAGGAAATAATGGATAATATATATATCCCCAAGAAAATTTTCAGAAGAAGAGTTCCTAGAAAGGGTAAGAAACCCTACACGATAAGAGGTTATCTAAGGTCCCCAACGAGGGCATCACAATGGATAAAAAATATATTTTTTAAAAAAATAAAGTATAATTTTCCAGCTTGAGCCCGGAAAAATAGATTTTGAAAACATTTTATCCCTCACGGGGAGTTTTTAATCGAAATTATGAAAAATATGTTTTCCCATTGGAAAATCCAAGCAAGCAATAAGTCTCCCCGTGAGGGGTAAAATGTTTTCAAAATATATTTTTGGGGGTTCGGGCTGGAAAATTATACATCAATTTTTTAATAAAATATTTTTTAGGGTTTCTTGGTGGGTGTGATGCCATCGTTGGGGAGTTTAGAGGATCCCCTCGCATGTTCCAGTTGTCTTTGGAGTTGGTCCCATGAGGACCGTACCTTCATGACGCCTTCTCGCCGGAGATTGATCATGTTTAACGCACGTCTGATTTATGGGACGCCACACGCGAAAGGAGGGAGAGAGAGAGAGAGAGAGAGAGAGAGAGAGAGTTGGTGCGAGGGAGTGGGGGTAGGGGAGAGAGAAAGGTGGTGGTGGGTGAGTTAGCGAGAAAAAAAGAAGCTGTGAGAGTTACAGAGAGAGGGGTGTCGTGACTGAGTTAGCAAGAGAGAGAACAGGAGACGGAGAGAGTCAGTGAGTAACTCACAATTAGAGAGAACGAGGGAGTGGGTGAGTTAGTAAAGGAGACAGTAGAGCGGTCAGAGAGAGTAAGTAAGAGAGAGAGTGTGGGGAGGATAGTCACTAAGAGAGAGAATAAGAGAGGGAGGGAGGAAGAGAGATGGAGAAGGGTAAGTGGGACGAGAGGAAACTTTCAAGAGTATTTCGGTTGGGTTAGAAAGATTGCTTGCTCCAATGATCCTCATCCTTGTCATCAGCCTGCAGGTTTTTCCATTCGAAATCATGAGCAAGGATTGACGAAGTTCCCACCATGCGGAGAGATGCGACGAGCCCAACCTAGTGTTCTTCATGATTCAGTGGAAATCTCCGTCAGATGAAGATTGATGCCCTATCGTACGGCTATTTCGAGGAAAATAATGCCTTAGATTATGATCCCCAAGGAATTCAACCTCACGGCAACGAACCCATTTCAGATTTAGTAGGAAGTCAAGGCTTGATAGAGAGAGATGAAGGCCTCCCTCTCTCTCTCCCCCCGTATGTCAGCTCCCCCCCCCCCCAATCATTTCTTTAATCGCTTACTGACATGATCTCACTTTCTCTCTCTAACAGCCCTACCCACGTGACATAGGCCTAACCCTATTTTCAGTCATCGTGCATTTTACATGCAAATAAAAGAGTCCTTTTACGTCTGACGAGGCTGCCGAGGGTGTATTTACATTTGTCTGATAGTTCCTTGTGTGCTTCTGGGCAGGCAGCTAAGATTATCGATATATATATACAGCGAGAGAGAGAAAGAGATGTGATGACTGCCAGTCATGGCAGGCAACCCCGCTTCTCCGGCTTCTTCTTCTTTCTCTGTTCCGAGGATGTCCACGCGTAGAGCAGCAGTTCGCCACGCCTGCAGCACCCTTGTGAGGGCTGTCGGCTCTTGGCTGACCAAGGATTAACAGATCCTGTTCTTCCCCTCTCCATTAAAAATTCCCCTGGGGCCTACGTCAGAGGCAGGTCTTTCTATCTCTCTCTCTCTCGCTAGGATTCTAACTCTTCGAACGTGTGACGGACACAGCACGGCAGTATACCACCGGAACAACCCACTTCTCTTCGATGAAGTCCCCAACGAGGTCACACCACACCCGTCTCTCTCTATCTCTATATTACGTACGTAACTAGAGAGAGAAAGAGAGGTGGTGGGGCAGCAATCTTGCCGTGAAAGAGTGGAGGCGGTAGTCTATTCCTGGGAATAGTATTTCTTTTTTTGCCATGGATGGTGAAGCCATGCACGCCGGGAATATTAAAACGCAACTAGCAGGTTCCAGCTATCGACAATTGATTATCTTTCTCTCTCTTTCTCTCTGTCTCTCCCTCCCTCCCTCTCTCCCTCTCTCTCTCTCTCTCTCCCTCCCTCTCTGTCTGTCTATCTGTCAGTCTCTCTCTCTCTCTCTCGATACATATATATCTATTATGTATATATACACACACACAGAGACGTATGCTATCTCTCTCCATTTTTCTCTCTGCCGATATAGTACACACAGATATGTAAGTTATCTCTCTCCATCTCTTTCTCTCTCGATATAATACACACAGATATGTAAGCTATCTCTTTCTATCTCTACCTCTCTCTCTCTCTCTCGATGATAATACGCATACAGATATGCAAGTTATCTTCTCTCTCTCTCTATCTCTCTCTCTCTCTCTCTCTCTCTCTCTCTCTCTCTCTCTCTCTCTCTCTCTCTCTCTCTCTCTCTCTTTCTCTCTCTCTCTCTCTCTCTCTCTCTCCCTCGCTACATATACACATATATAAGTTATCTCTCCCCATCTGTCTTTCCATCTTTCTATATTATCCATGTATCTCTCCCCCCCTCCCTCTCTCCTGTCTCCATTGCTCTACGTGCATATGTGTGCGTGTTTGTAAATATCTCTTACTCCTCCAGCCCTTGATCGCTCTTTCTCTCTCTCTAACCTCTCATTGCAGCCTACAAACTACGAGGGAGGAACGTGGAAATGTATACTCCCTGATGACAATCAGACAAAACTAACTATTAGTCTGGCCTGAAATAGTAATAATAATAATAGTAATAGTAGTTAGGGCTGTCAACGGGCCCGGCCTGATGGGGATTTTAGAGGCCGGGACCGAGCCGGAATATCGTCGACAACGGACCCATCAACTGATGAGAGAGAGGAGAGAGAGAGGAGAGAGAGGAGAGTGAGGGAGAGAGAGAGAGAGGTGAGAGAGGAGAGAGAGGAGAGAGAGAATTCTTGATGGGGGATGAAGAGAAAGATGACGGTAACGGGACCCAGCTGTGGAATTAGGGGTTCTTTCATGATCTCACAGACAGTAGAGTTCTGTGACTCATTGCTTTGACCCGCCATGGTTGGACGTCGATGTTTCTTTGAATTAGGGGACCCGGGTGACTCCTATCCAGCTTCTTACGAGAGTCAAAGAAATGGGATCTGTTGACGGTCACATCTGAGTCAGCCTGTTTTTTCTCTCACTCGCTATTCAGGGCAGGCCAAAGAGAGCCCATTAAACCCAAAAACCAAGCCCATCGCTCTCACCAGAGTAAGTCGTAAAGATTAGCCACAACCCTCTCGCCACACGCAACGAAGAAAAAACGTCAACCCCACCGACTTGGCCCACAACGATCACCTGTGAAAAAAGTCAACCCAAATCATCTGGGGCCCAGGAGCCGGGCCTGGGCAGTTGGCCAGATCCTCTCCAGGTCATAGACACTGAAATTGTCGTACAAAAGGGAGCCGTCCTCACTGTAGTGGAGGAGGTAGTAGCAGTCCTTGCAGAAGAAGCAGGGGTTCCTGGCCGCCCACCGGTCGTTGACCGTCGCCATGGCCGACGGCTTGATGTTGCAGACCGAGCACTTGCTGCGGCGGGTGCGGATTCGGTAGGTCGCCAGCGGGTACGACAGCTCGTTCTGTTCGTCGTCGGCGTGGACCAGCCGCATGTCCCGGATCACGATCAGGTGCCAGCAATTGCCCTGGACATCGGCAGTACGACTATCACATCTCTGAAGACCTCGGATCCATCTATCTGCGGCCAGTTCGTGGCCGCAAAGTATGAGAGATTGACAAAAAAGTGGCAGCGCCTGGATGAGACAAGTGTGTTCTTGAGTGATCTTGATCCCCCACACACCCTCCCCCCTTCCTGCGCTCTCCATTGGCGAAACTAATTAATTTTCATAATTTTTTTGATGAAAAAAAATATGGAAAAATGATGGTACGTAAATGGGTATCTGAAGTATAATTCAGATTTCAAGCTACTATTATTGATAATGGAAATAATTAATGTTAAAGAAACGAAAAAAAAAAATCCTGTTCTTGAACATGAACTGCAGGCAACAGCTGATATTGTTACAAGAGAAGAAAGATGGATGAACAACAGATATGTTTTTGCCACGGATGACGGGGAAAGAAGAGGAATTAAAGCCCGTAAAGCCCAAAGCTTGAAGCCTAGATCACTGATTAGGGGTTTTGGGCGGATCAAAACCTCAGTTAGGAATCAACTCCATTAATCATGGAGCATCCTGATCATTAAAACCTACCCTAGAAAGAAATCTATCCCACGGCAATTCTGTACTTTAAAGAGCAGATTCAAGATCACAGTGCTTCAGGAGTAATGAATGGAAATCAAATACTGATACAGAAGTGGAATCATCACAATAAAAATGGTAGTAAATAAGAAGAAGAGCCTTGGAACTCCAATAAACACCCCATAAACAAGACAACCACTTCGGGGCCTTCACTTTTCCCCCAAACAGAAAAAAAAAAAAAAAAAAACAAACAAACAATATGGAGAGTCTAGAAGAACAGAGCCAGTAACAGCTTGTTGAAATATGATTACTAAACAACATGACTCATCCACAATCGCAACGCAAGTTCATGGAAAGCAAGCCTTGGGGACCCAAATCCATAGTAGATTTTAGAAGAACTTAGTGAAATCCTATCAAAGTCAATACCCAAAGAAATATTAAGTATTCTGTGTTAAAAATAGATTGCTTCAAACAAAAAATTCCATTTTGCGAAAACAAATATATTAAAATTTTCAAACTCGAGGTGAACACAGCAATCTTAGGACGACCATGTCAGAGCTCAATATTTAAACGAGAAGCATAGAAATATGGAATCAACATAGAACCATACCTGGTGACAGTAGAGATACCCAGAACCGAATCTAAAACGCAGATCACAGAAACAGGTTTTATCCATGTCAACAGCTTTAAACTGAGGTAGGTCAGAGCTTGTCAAATTTTCCAGCAAACTCTTATGCTTCTTAACTTCACTGGAGACAATCCACTCCCACTTGTCCTTGGCCTCTTTCTTCTGGTTTACCAGCCATTCAAGTATCGGTTTGCTATAATCTATAGCACCTGGACCCCTCAAATCATTCAAAAATAGATCCTAAAAGATTAAAAAATCCAACAGTTAGTTTAGATGGATCATCAGCGAGCCCATGAACGTAAATGCCCCGGATTCCTGGTTCACCTCAATAAGGAAATACCCAGAAGGATCAGACACCCCAGATGCTTGCATAAGATGATCTGTTGAGCAATAGATATTATCCCTCAAGGCTGTTAGTCTTTGTGAGCCGAGGACTAAGAGTTCCTGAGTCTAAAACATAATTTTCAAATTTGAATAGTGCCTCGGAAACATATTATATATGAGACTTCATCAAAGAACGTAAGCAAAACTCAATTCATTCCATCATATAATTACTGTGCAGTCATAGAAAAAATCGTCAAGTAAGAATTACGTCCAGTCGTTGAAAAGCAGTAGTTCAAGTCCAATCATTGCAGGTGCAATGCGCGCCACAAAACTTATATGAAAATAAAGAATCAATATGCACAAATAAATAAAATAATATGCCATAGTCAGCCCTGATCAGTGCATTCCTCATCAGGCCCATGAAGAAGCCTTTAGTTAGTACTGAACGACACAAGAGTTTAAATATCTCCAGTTATCCCATTATATTGATTATTTCCGAAACTCAGTCCATAAATGTCCACCCATAAGCTTTCAGATACCAAACATTATCACTGTCAATTCAGCAGTTTTGTGATGAGATTCACTGATTTCGTCATCCTGGCTGGAAACTTAGAAATCATTGAAGGCCCATAACAATCGCTGTCCTGCGGACGCAAGCAATTGGACTTTTTCAACAAGAAGGTAAGAGAAAGAGAAGCGATCAAGGACAGTGCCAGTGTGAGAGATAGTGCTCATGGGTAGCACCTTTTATAGTAAGAAGTATTTTGTTGAATATTTGGAGGAAATGGTCAATGAAAGACAGTTCCTTCTTACTTTGGTATACCCCCTCCTTTGCCAACTTTAAGGTTCATCTCCCAATATTTCCAAAAAAATAGAAGTAGAATGGTCACTCAATTCAGTCTTTTTGATCTCCACCTCACAAAAGTTGATAAAGATTAGTATATAAGGACATGCTCAAGCCTCATCGCCATAATAAAACAGAAATTTAAGCAGATAGGGGTTTCATTCACAATAACATGAAATCTCAAGGAAAAACTGAAATATCCCATGAACAGCAAATATCTGGTTCACAACCCAAGACAAAGCAAACAATATCAGCTAAAATAAGTTGTATTCATCTGGTGGCGCATGGTTGCAAAATGATTTGAACAGAAAAATAATTATGACACCTTAATAGGAATGGACATTTGGACAAGAAGAGGAATGTGAAATCCATGATATTAACCGGTTGTACAGAAATTGCGGTAATGACCACGAAATGCATTAAAAGATAACATTACTTACTTTATGCCCTGCCACTCGGTTATCATAGACTTCCACGCAGAGGACAACTTCTGGGAAGGACACCGGATTTTGTAGCAACTTATTTGATGATGTGACCTAAATAGCAAGAAAATGAAAGTCTGAATGATAGCATAAAGGTATTAAAACTAAACGTTGTACGATAGTCATAGGGTATTAGGGAAGCGAAGTTTAACGTCACTATCAAAGGTTTCCTATAATCAAATAAATAATCTCCCTCATACGACATTTGCAAAAATCACTTCTACCCAAGAAAACCCATCTTCTAACAAGAACAGCTGCGATTTCTCATCAATACATAAAGGCCATAGGCTCGAATGACCAAATCCTATGAGGGCTAGTATGACTCTCACTGAGTAGCATACATGCATCACTGAAATGTGGCCATCTTGTCTCCATGGACTTAGACGAAGGAAAATATATCACATAAATAAAGACTTTGAGAAAGATGAGTCTAAAGTTGAAAGCTTGAAAAACCACACAATCTAAAATACATAATGAAAAAAATTATGAATTAATGTTAAAGATTAAATTTTAATTCTTCTAAAATATTACGTACATAAAATAGCTACGTAACATAAACAACTATTTTATGAGATTAATAGAACAATCTTTGATAACTTTTGAGATAAGTGACCAAAATTCCAAGTCTTAAAGTCCAAGGTTCAACTCAGTAGATTTTAAAAGAGAGGTTTCAGTCAGCTAGGAGTACATTGGCTCAAAATAGATCCTGTTATCCTTGTCTCAAGACAACAGTGTCAAGTTATCAGTTTATCCTTGCCCATGATATCTGCTAAGGCAACAATGGTGAGCAATGTAGTGGCCTACTACATTTACCTGGGCAACAAGGCGTGACATCTAGGCTACACCTGCCTTGCAGAAGATCCCAACAAAAATTATGAATCGCAACTATCAGGATAGTACTTGAGATTCATGTTTTGCGAGATAATTTAGATTGTATGATATTAATAGAAAAATAATACGTATAAAATATGCAAACAAATACACTCACTTTTGTCTAGCACATGCCAATGTGTTTATAACTCTCATCGATACAATAATTTTCAGAATTGTTTATAAGATGAGTTATCATTCTGCTCATACCATTAAGAGAGACACTTTTAGCGCATTCATTTGAGTGTTGAGCACCAATGATTAATAACTTTATAAGATTAATAAACAATTGATAACCGTATAAGAAGGAAACACAGACATTCACTTCTGTAAATAACCTTCATGAAGGGGCTGGGGTATCAGTTTCATAGATCATTATATTCATTTCATGAAGAGAAAGATTTTCAGTACGATTATGAAACTGTTGGGGGTGTTGTTAAGTGAGAAATTCACAACATAAATCGTGTTTTCATTAGCTCATTAACTTATATTCTTATAATCCTAGGTTATCACAACAGCTTGTTTGACTGATTCGTCATGGTAGGGAAGAAAACAGTGGATGTCGCCAAGTCCCAAAGTACGAGTCCATGATTCACATTATACATAATTTTTATGCTAGTACGAGTCCATGATTTTGTTTTCTATACAGGCCTAAGTCCCAAAGTACCCTTCAATAATGAAGTCTGGTGGGATAAACTGCACAAAACTGAAGAGTGCCACAGATTACACCAATATGTCTGCTACACGGATAAAACTAAGAAAGACTGCCAATCCAACCATGATGTGCCCAGCAGTGAGTTGACTTGTAGACTACTTCATGGTGTATCTCACAATAAGTTACCAACAAGAATATCTTCTGAAGATACTGACCTTGGGGAAGGATTTTATAAACCTGAGGGAACGCAGTTTCCCAGTTGCTTCAGCCGTGGATGTTGCCCCCACAGTAGGCTTGGAACTTCCACTGGAGGAAAAGAAGCTTAAGTCAAAAATCAAAAATCATGAAACCAAATAATGACGAAAGAAACATACCAGAATGAGTGTAATCTGGCAGCTGCTTTGTCTTCATCTTGACTTTGCTTGATTCTTGCAAATCGTTCCACACTCTTGACGTTAGCACTCTGATAATCATATGAATAAAGCAAATGTGAACAGGCGAACAAGTCTAGGATTGCAATTAAGAATCAAGAAGAAAAACTGTCACGAGTCACATAGAAACAAAAACATCAAAAAGTCAAACGGAAATGGCTATAAGAACTACTACTTGGGTTAAGGTCTCATTATCCTAAATCCAAAAAATAGGTACATGCTAAATATTTGACTAAATGGTAACCAAGCCTAAACACAGTCATGCTCCTTGATGTTTTAATGAGTCATCAAGACTGTGATAAAAATTGCAAGCAGACAATCCTTTCTTCATTGCCTATGCCAAGGACATATCATTAAATGCCCAAGTGAATACTGTAATCAGCTGATGGATCCAGTTGCCTTTCAACGTTGATACACCATGCTAACTAGTTCGTCGCCTATATGTCATGCTACTTAACCTAACTCGAGCTTTCTGAATCATGTCCCAATAATGAATTCAGAAAAGGATTTTCCAAGAAGACCGACCTAAGAAAAATGTAGAAATTACTCTAATGCCACAGACATCAAAATCAATCAGAAAATGAACCAAGCGAGTGACACCTACTCCAGCATACAATCACTCTGCAGAAAAAAAACTTATAACGAGAATACGTCCATGCTATGCCACATTTTTTCAGTCCCACACACCAAATTGCTTCATTTCTTAGGATGGCATTATGAAAGGTGATCTTCATGAAGTTCCCTACTAGGCTCAATACACACCGATCAAAAACTGAATCACTACGTCAGTAATATAATTAATACTAAGTTTCTCAATTTGCATCTGATCCAAGTCGGTCAACCAGCCCACAATCATCATCCAGGTAGAAAAAAGGAAATATGGCTCTGCCCATATCCTATGAGTGGCAGAAAGGCAAAGGTTCAGAGTGTTGATCATGAAACAGGAAAGCATACCTCCAATTCTGATGCCCGAGTATCTCTGTCAAAAAGTCTCCCTCTTTTTTTCCTATTTTTGGAACTCTGTAGAACTTTTCGATCCAATGGATCCTTTCCATGTGGCATTTTAGAGTCCAAGCTTTCACCTCCAGTTGATGAGCTTACCAAAGAAATAGCCCGACTCTCCGACAATATCAAGGTATTGCTTCCCCTGCAAACAAATTTTTCAGTAAATCTTAGAAGCAGTCCTAATGGAAATGAATAATCATCAGAATTGTGCATTTTCAACTCAGATAACTATATAAAATGATAGATCAACCTAACTAAATGCAGATATTTAAACCTGAAATAAATAATAATGGATGGGAAATTCTTCCAGAACATGAACAGGCCGTAACAGATTGGCAAGAAGATTAGATTCTAGACATTAGATATACATATTATACATGATGGGTGTGATGCTGAACTCCCTGAACTTTTCCCAGTAAAACATAAAGAGTGACTTAGTTATGACAAATAAGCCACTTCAATCAGAAAGGATTGTGAATTATCGTCAAGAAAATTCATAAGCTATTTTGATGAACGCAGTGTGGTGATTGTGGTTTACCAGCTGTGACATCTAAGAGTCTTGTTTTACTCCAAGAAAAACTAATGGCTAATAAATGCAATTACACTGCACAAAAAAAGAGTTCGCAATTCAAGACACAAAAAAGTTCCCAACACATGGGAGAGGATCACCAGGAAGGAGAATGGGATGGCCAAGAGGAGTTTCTACTGTTAATGGACCGAAGCTCATGAATTAAGAGGGTCCCATTGATCCATCACTTGTTTTCTACTTCTTTGTGTTCCAATGTCTCCTGTCATACTTCCTATATATTTCCTTTATCTCGAGTATTTATTGAATAATCAAAATGGACAGACCAAAAAGGTAAGCTATGAACATATAAACCAACTGGACCAAAAATTTCATGTCAAGAGGAAAAAGGTAGGAGCAAGATGAGCCAATAAGGAAGAAGGTATTTCATACCCGAAGAAAGGAAGAAGAGCAAAAAGTAAGCTATGAAGAGATAAATATGATCCACAACGAGATAAACCATACTCGAATAATAGTTTTACGGTGAAAAGGAAGAAAAAGTAGGGAACCAAGGTTCATAAACACAAACATTTCAAAAGTGTTCTCTCCGTGCGCCTGTGTAGAGCTCCCCTCACTCTCAGTCTCCTGTAACTATACCCACGCAAAAAATTCAGCCAAAGTTTTTCAAAAAGACTTCCGATTCTTTCTTCCCATCCTGATCGGTCCCAGGTGAGAATAGAAATACCTCCAGCGCCTCCAAGGCCTTCTCCACAATTTCTTCCTCCGTGAAGACCCGAAGCTCGTCAACCCTACGCACAAACATAACACAAGCGTGCAAGAGAGCTTGAGGGACACCAAACGGGTGTTTCAAAGGATTGGACGCACAAAACTGATCAGGAAGGGATGGGACTTTACGAGAGTTCATCATCGAAATCCCCCGCCGTGGACAACTCCGCCTGTAAATCCTGCGCAAGGGGATCACAGTAAAGAAGGACCAATGTAAGAAGATATCATCTCCGGGGCTTCCTCCCAGCTCGGAGAAGCAATGGGGGGGAGGGGTTTTGATTCTTAAGGCAGACCAAACCCGAAGCTCTTGGACGACGGCGGTTTTGAATTCGCCCACGCTAGTGATGGGTCCGACGATGTCGGGGACGTAGATTGGGCCGCCGCGAGCGAAGGCTGCGCCGCCGCTTCCCCCTTGCCCCGCCGCTGCCTCCATCATCGCCGTCGCCGGAGCTCTCGCCGTCTTCGACTCCTGCTGCGTACTTCCCCTGCACATAAATAAATACAGAACCAGAAATCCCGCTATGACTCGATTTTGGGAACTGAAATCGCTTCCCCACCGCGGGGTGGATCGGATTTTGCGTAAAGCCCAAAAGGAGAGGTAATAGAAATTTTAAAAAGTTAGGTCACTAAATGTTATTTATAAGGATTATATGGTTTTATTTCACATTAGCTGGCTATCATCACAGGTTTAGTCTCTCCCTTTCTCCTTAGACTCGAGAATCGATTTCCGCGGCAGGGTGAATCGGATTTTCATTAGAATTCAGAGATTAATATAATTTTACAATTTATATACAGCTAAACGTTATTTAGGCGTCTTATTTGGTGTATAATACTTAAATTACATATCTGTCCCCATTATCCTCACTAGGACCCGCAAAGAAGACATGTTTGCACACTCACAATGTGCGTGTTTGCCCGGGGGGCTCCATGTCAAAATAAAAACTACCACGTACTTATTTATAAACTTGCAAATTTTATGGGGGAATCTATATCAAATAAGCCTATTGGGAGAAAATATTGATTAAAGACCGACCTTCATAAATATTTACGTATATACAGTTTGCAGTTGAGCATAATTTGGACAGTCCATTAACACTCTTTAATCTATGGGGTACACATACAATGGTCGTCAATTATTGTGATAAAAAAGTATTATTTATTCAAGAAGATTATAATTCCCCTTTATTATGGTTGGGCAACATAAAATATCTTATTAGTTCATAATATTTTAGGAAGTGATATTGAAGAAGCCGATGGACTATGAATGAAACCCATATAAACATAGTGATGACCCACAAGTTTTTTTATTTTATTAATATTTTATATATATCCTTCTCTTACTCACTAGAAAATACTTTTATATTTAGTTTTATATCCCGTAATTGGTGCATGTGGATACTTATTGGATGGCTCTGCATTGTTCTTTTAACCTGGAAATTTTCCAAAAAGCTGCTTGGATTTTCTTCCTTAATGCGGTTCAATGGCCCTGATTGCTGTCACTGGGGGTTAGAGTAAGGGGAGAAGTGCCTGAGTGTGATAACACTGGGCTATGAAGAGAGAGACTAGGGAAAGAGAGTTTCCTGACACAGACACACACACAGAGGTGAACACACGGCCTAGCTAAAGCTGTGATTTTCTCTCTCCTATTTTCCTTCAATCATCAACATCAAGGGCTTGGATTCAGGGAGGAACCCATCTCCATGCGTTATTATGTACAGACAATGGGAGGAGATTGCTGCCACTGAGGGGTAAGAGCAAGGGGAGAAGTGGTTGAGGGTGGCAGCTCTGGGCTATGAAGAGAGAGGCTGGTGAAAGAAACTTTCTTGAGAGAGAGAGAGAGAGATGAACACAAGGCAAAGCTAAAACTGTGAAAAAAAAAATCTCTCTTATTTTCCTCCAATCTCCAACATCAAGGGCTTGGATTCAGGGAGGAACCCATCTCCGTGGTTATTATGTACAGTCAAGGGGAGGAGATGGGCATTGGGGTTTGACTCTACTTCCTCTTCTTGTCCCCACCATCCCCATCAAGGGTGACCGGCGCCGCCGGGATGCTGACCCACCACTCCCTCAGCCGCCTCATCCACCGCTCCGTGCTAGGTCTCCGTGGCGGCGAGTTCCTGGTGAAGGCCTCCAAGAAAGCGGCGAAGAGGATGAGCCTGCTGGGGAGGAGGGCCGCCGCCAGAGCCACTAGAACAAGGCCAAGTACGATCTGGTTCGTTGCCTGTCGAATAATTTTCCACAATTAGAGAGTTGACACAATTAGAGGAGAAAAATGCCCATACTGAGGCGAATCCAATCTCTCCAGGTATGAGAAGGCGCATATTATGCATCTTGGTATGCCACTTATAGACTATAATGATATATATATATATTTAGTCATCTGATTGTATATAATAACTAAGTAAACGGAAAATATAAGATTTTAAACAGATAGTTATAAAACATGCACGGACAGTGATAAGAGTTTCTGAATGGGTAGGGTTTAGGGTTTAGGGTTGAGGATAAGAAAAATATGAAATGTTGTAACTGTAACACATTTACTATGTTACTAATAATTATAATAATATATCAATAACTATTGCTAATGAATATTTACGACGTGCAAAAAACTGCCCATTAAAAAATGTATGGACTGTGATCTGAGTTTATGAAAGGGTGGGTTGGTAGGTAAAAAAAAAATTAGATTAAAAAAATATAAAAAATAAAATTAGAACAGTTCTACCATATTCTATTAGGAGGGAGGGAGGGGGAGCACCTGAGGAGGGATGGCGAGTATCAAAGATCGGATCTTCAGGAGAATAATATTTCCGTCTTGGGCAAGCTCCTCGAACTGGGAGACAGCATTCTGGACAGCGAGCAGGTTCTCCACGGTGTTCATTGGTGGAGGCGCCTTCACTCGAATCTCTTCTAGCCCCCCTTGCCCAAAGAGCCGGGTAGTCAACAGAAAGATTGCCATAGAAAGAAGGAGCATGACGAGCACTCTGGTCATCCATCCCCTGCTCGCAATTATATCAATAAGATACCACAGATGATTCCCAGGTATTGTGAAGAACAGAACTGAAGAGAAATAGGTTGTGGCTGATGAGTGCAATCAGGCACTCATCTGAGGAGAACAGAAATTAAAGCGAAATATATTGAGTGCAATCAGGCAAACAAGAACGATTCTGAGGAGAAGAGAATTGAAGAGAAATATGCTGTGGGTGATGAATAATTCCACAAAAACGATTGTGAAGGACAGAGATTAAAGAGACATATAGTGGGTGATGAATATGAAAAAACATCAGTACGAACCTTCGATTTCCAGCTACAATTTAAGTAATAAACAATCACAACTGAGGACGCTCCCGCTAAGAGTAGAAGGAAAGATATTCCTATGGTCCATGATTCGTGGATGCAGACTAAATTATTTACTCTGGGTATCTTTCAGACCATTTCGCCTCATCTAATTTATATTCTGTCCTATGTAACTCATTCCATGGATGGGGCCCAGTGGATCTCCTCACGGCATGAGATAGGATAATCTCCATTAATGGCTACTAAATGCATCTAGTAATCCTGACACATTTGCCACCCTCGCTCTCCCTCTCTCTCTCTCTCTCTCTCTCTCTCTCTCTCTCTCTCTCTATATATATATATATATATATATATATATATATATAGCCACCCTCATTTTGAGGGCCTTGCCCCCTTGTTGTGTGAGGTTAATGCCAGAGGGGACATTTCTTGGAGGAGGAGAGCATTCTTTAGAATCTTTAACAAGTTTGCAGATATTCTTCAGAATCTTAAAAACATATGCACCACAGACTGCTAAGGTATTTGCAAAAAAAGAAAAAAAAAACCTGTAAAAAATGTAGGAGAACACAGTGCAGAAAATCAAAGATTTGAGAGGATCATCCCAACGCTGAAGCGATCCAATAAATCTTCCAAACTCTGTGACAGGATAAAGCAGCTCCTACAAAATATATAACCAAGCTTGCCCACATGAGTATTAAATAAATATACAGCATATGAGTTATTAAATAAAAAAAGATGAAATTGAATGACCTAGCATTCTGACAGATCAAATGCATGAAACTGGTCTCAACCATGAGACTGGTCCGCTGAGCACATCAATGCTCTTCTCAGCCAATGACCCACAATTCAATCTTTTATTAACCAGGGGATCAGATCAGTTAAAGAATGAGATGGCTTTAAATATTAGGTCATCCCATATTTGAATTTTAGGAATGGACCACATATGTCACAGAAAATGCAGGCAAAAACCTTATGCCTGACACAAAAATCATAAGTGAAGAAAACGGGGGTGCTCAAAGTAGGGGGCTGATTCCACATATCCTGGTGCCAACAGTAGAAGGTCACATCTAGAAATGGATATACACATATTCTGCTGATCCATATTCATAGCCAAAAGTAATATATGCGAAAAATAATAGCTCTCCCACAAAATGGTAAAAAAGCCATAAATGATTGCCATAAAGGATAGAAATACAAATTACATCGGTCACCAGATTGAAACGATCCCAAACCAAATTTAGTGAACCAGGAAGACAAACCCAGTTCGATTCCAAATTCACCTATCAGAAGGATCGGAAGGAATCATGCATTGGGAAAGCTATACGATCTAAAGCAGGTGCTTGAACCATTTTACAGCTATTGTATGAACTATCTCGCGTACAGAAGAGGAGAAATAGAAATCAAGTCCAACTCAGTGAGTCAAGCAGACAACACTACTCCATTTCTTCCCTTTAATATGCCTCCTCCGTCAAAAATTGAGAAGGAAATCAGACAAGATCATGACAAAACTCACGCCCAAACAGCTAAACTCAGCCCATGAACTTGAGCCCGTCTGCTCCGTAGTGTCCCAAAACAATATTTTCCATAAATGAATATAAAATTCTATCTTTTATTAAATATATTTAATAGAATAAACTAGACCCTTTCTGAACCAGAAAAGAAAAGAAAAACAGAGATCTAGATGAAAACTGTCAATATAGATGCCCAAAGAACTGTCAAAGCTGAGCATAACAAACTTAGTCATTGTCATCTCATCTCTTCATTCCATCTTGACCCGTTTTTCGGGGAAATCACACCGGTTTAAGAAGAAATGATAAGGTTTTGAACAACACAATTCACTTTAAACTGACGAATTATAAAGGATAAAACTTTGGCCTTGTGCAACTAAAAGACTTGATGCCATTTAATGGCAGACTATCATCAGGGCTGGCTGCTACAGCCACCTGGATTGAGACAGCTAGCTGAACATCACCAGCATGCAAAATCATATATCAGACAAGCAAATTTAATCATTTATAGCAGACAGTATGTCTGGCATATGTGACAGAAGTACCTTCATGACAGCCAAATTGTTGTTGATGCCTTCCACTTTGACGCCATTAACTGATGCCTGTGCTGACTCTACTGCCTTGAAATTATTCCTCGAGTTTCGAACAGCTCTCTCGAGAGAAGACATCTCCCCCACAACTATTTCACCCACCAGCAGCCCATCTCTACTAGCACCTCGTGGTGAGAAACCCAGGTTAGAAAAAATGGTAAGAGTTGACATAGAGTTCATTCCACCTTGGGGACTTGGCCTGTTTGTCCGATCAGACTCCCTTGAGGCCGCCATACTAGCCAGCGTCTCAAGTATCACATCACCTCCAGGAAGCTGATAAGTGAGATTGAACATGAGAAGAGACTCGTTTCGCAGAGCAATCGCAGGGTACAATTCTTCAAGAGCTTGCAACCGAAGAATGGCAAGCACTGCTCGTGAGAGAGTCTCTTCCCTCTCAACACCTCTAATCTGGTATTTTCTGATAAATTTATGAGCATAGTGGACTTCCTGTAAAATAGCCATCCAATAATCACGCCGAGAATGTCCTGTAAGCTCAGGAAATTCTAGGACAACTGGCTCCGATCTGCACCAGAAAGCAAGGACAGAATGCACTGATTATGAATAAACTGAGTACAAAGGGAATGAAAAATAAAATAAAAAATAGATTTGATAGGAAGAAAGAAAGTACTAAACTATTTCTCAATATATTCTACTTAAAAACAATCTAGGACTTACAAGTTGACAGATTTGTACATCACCCCTTTATCAAACAGGCGTGCGCCCCATGGCCCAGTCAACTCGGGCCTGATAACTTGCTTTAGGTCATCAGCCAAGTCAAAGATCTTCGGTTTATCATAAGTCAGAACCCGAAGAGGCTCAAAGTAGAGCGCATGGTCTGTTAGAGTCAACCTTCCTGCAGTAGACAAAAATCTGCCCAGGATTCAGAAATTTCCTGTTGAACATACTCGAGGGAGGAGCGCAAAAGGCTTACCTGGCCAGATAGACATCCCAACATGTTCGAGCACTGGTTGCGTGGTCAGCGTCCCTTCCATGCCAAGTATCCTTTCCCCTCTTGGTGCTCTCTGGCTCGACAGGTGAGATGATTCTGATTGAGCCTTCATTTTCTTTATGATTCTGCCAGGAGAAGGAAGGAAACTTGTAGTGAAGAAACATGATCGCCCGGTTTCCACGGCCCAAGGTCTAAAAAATGGATATTTTTGCCTTATCATATGAACAAAAAGTATCTGGGTATCACCCAAATTGAAGCTATGGATGAAAAGAAATAACCTGTCAAGGGCCAAGAGATACTTGTCGTAGGCAGAGAACACAAGCCGGCCCCCAGTTGATGAGGTGAGGACATCAAAGACATTTGTGCTGGTGATCACGTCGGCAATGATGGCCACCGCTGGTGCGATTCGAGAGAAAGCTTCTACCCCAACTTTGCTCTCCCTGTCCACCTGCCATCGAGGGAAGCCCATCAAAATTCCAAGCTTCTAACGTAAAATAATGGCGGACTCTCTCTTCTTCTTGAGAACTGAGGATACTGCGAGCATCAAAAAGTCAATTAATCGAAAGGAAGAAGGGGGAAGGAGGCAGACCTTGACCTCGGGTTGACTCGCCGCAGAAGGAGCTTCCCAGGCTAACATCATGTCAAAGGTGAGACGGCGGAAGTTCTTGTCGGTGAGGTAGGCAGCCATCTGAACGGAGAGTGCGATCGCCCTGAAGCAGCAGTACTCCAGGAAATTCCTCGCATAGCATGATCGATGCTTAATTACGTCGGAGGCTTCTGCATCGAAATTGCGCTGAAGCTCGTCCATGGAGATGTCAAGAACGCTGCAACGGCGAGGCAGCCAGAAGCAGTCAATTAGAGATGCGCCATGTTTTATCCCCCGAATTGAGCTTCCGGGTATCTATCCCATTTGACAGGGTGAATGGAAATCAGGGAGCAAAGAAGAAGAAGGGGGAATAGAGATCGATCCCAAGGTGCATACCGGGAGCACCTGGCGACGATCACGTTCGCGACGGGGGAGAGCTCAGAAATCCACTTCCTCTGGCCGGAAGGGGACTGGCGCATCTCTTCGAGCTCCTCCTCGAAGGAGGTGCGGCGACTGAGCATCCGTTTGATGGACCCTTCCCCCACCAGCTCTCCCAACAAGTCCCTCGTCTTGACCATCATCGCCGCTGTCAACCCCTCCGAGATCAAATAGAACCGATTCGAATCCTACCTTCATCAGGGCTTCCTCCCCAGATCATAGAATACGGCCATAACCAGACCCCGCCAGCCTCCCTCAAGGAAATAAATACCTCAAGCTACTCCACTTCCTCGCAGGAGAGAAGAATAACCCATCTCGGAAGAAACCTTCCCCGACTACGGGCCTCGCCCATGGGGAGACCCATCTAGGATATGACCTCTGTAAAGTTGAATATTCTCTCTACCTCTTCTCCATCTCCCCCCCTCTCTACCCACCCTTCCTCCTCAAAGGAAACCCATCTGCCAAGCATCAACCGCTCAGGAATGGGAAATGAGAGAGAGAGAGAGAGAAGAAGAAGGACGTCAGAGATGGATAGGGACGGGGAGAGCAGCAGAAGGGAACACGTGCTGGCCCCGCTCAGCATCATCTGAGAACCGCCTCAGAGTCATCTTCCGCCATGGGGAAGACGGCTTGCAACCCGTTTGTGAGAGAAAAGACGACGGCTTTACGTGGAGACAACACCATGATGCCCCCCCCTTCCCCCGAATTCCCAAATAACCTCTGGGTTCGGTGAATTGAAGGCTATTTACCATGGTAAATTTCTTAAAAGCTAGGGATCCTATCAGAAATTAAAAAAACCCAAGCATTTTCATCCTCAGGGTGAATGATTGGAAGGACAAGATGTTCTATACTAGAATAACTAAAATATCGAACTCTCAAAGCGTAGGAAAAACCCATATATTTTTTAAAAAATATTAAAAGATGAATTTTTATTTACAAATATTTTATCTATTAATGCATTCTTATTTTTTGGCATGAGTTAATAAGTGAGCACTTAACAACTTTTCCTCAACAATCTCTTGTTCAAACCTGTGTATTCCCTTGTATGCATTTTTTTTCAAGTTTAATTTATACAAAAACCCTTATGTTCTTGCTTCATCATGCCAGAAGGGTGTGCTAAGATTGTTAGCAAAATCATCTTATGTCGAAGTTGATAAACTCCATATATGTGCTCCAAGCAATTTCAAACTGATTTATTTATGAATATTTACATCACTCATTGTGTGGCATTCCCTTTGTAAAGATAATAGTAAATCGTTTTCTAACATTTTTTTGGCTTATAAGACACATCTTACTCATCACAACTTGGCATAGACTGAAACTCTTGCCTTTTGCCAAAAAATCATCTTCAGTCAAGGTTACGTAGGCACATTCATAAAAACATCAATATTATTGTCATTAATTATTGAACTATTCATAAATTTAAAATTTTATCATGTGATATCTTATAATTAAATAATTAGATGTTAATTTTTTGTGTAGCTTCATGTTGTACATTTAGTACCGTGACTTTTCTTTTCTTACAACTATGTACCATCCCTTAAGAATAAACAATGAACATTGGTCATGTACCTTCATAAACCTTCCCTGGACAGCTTAGATCAGATATAATTTAGTCAAATCAAGATAATCAAAAACCTCTAAAAATCCATCTTAGAGAGAACAAATAATGATTGACTAAATAAACTTACCAACTACATGTGAATCAATTTGATGTTCTATGCTTCTAGTATGAGCTTAAGCAAAGTGAGAGAGGGCAATAGAGATGGCTTTCTTGGAGGAAAATACAAAATTGATTGAAAGTAGCTTAGGCTAGAGTTCTTGGAGAATTTTTGTGGTGAGCATGTAACAAATTATCACAAATATGAATCATCAAGTTGACTAGTTTTATAGATAATCCTATACTAAACAACTATTGGGAGAAATTTGTGGTGAGAGAGTTAGAAATATTCCAAGATAACAGAATTATCCCCTCATTATAAAGATACAATGAATAAAAAATTATGAACAAATATGAATAGAAAACTAGGAATGTTAGTTATGGATCAACTTGTTTCCGTATTTGTGTCAAAATCTTTGTTATCAAAGTAAAGTTCTATAAAAAATATAGTGGGTGTTTCAAATAGTTTCTCCCAATGTCATTTTGTTTATTGCCAACATTTTCAGAAACATTAAGGGTAACCGAATTTTATGTTAACATACTGAACACAAAAGTAAAATTTTCAATTCATATCATCATATTATTCATGTATGATGACATGGAAATATTGATAAATTTTTCTATTATTTGTTAAAATCATTTGCACTTAAATGGGAAAGTTTAGAAGAAGATGTAGTTCTTAAAATCATTTGCACTTAAATGGGAAAGTTTAGAAGAAGATGTAAAAAAAACATTTACAATGAAACTATTACAATTTTAATAATTGGTTTTCGAAAATTTTACATGGAGTTCCTTCTTTTCTATTGGGGGCATTTTTAACAATTAATGAGAACCCTTTTATGTTAAAAATTCAGTTTTTAATCTTCTAATTAGAATTTGTGTCAACCACTATTTTTTCGCACTCAAGATCCCATGTTCATTGCATTGAAAATATTTATTATAAACTCCTTTTTGATTTATTTTAATGAAATAGTTTTTAGTAATAAGCAACTCTCTTTAGAAGTAAGTGATAAGTTTATTATGGTAATTTTGGAGCGATTGACCCACTTCAAGTCATATATTTAATGCATTAATCTTTAATGTTTGTATCTGCATAAGGCTAAATTAACCTAAGGGAGAGTTCATTGAAAGAGTGAAGTTTGGAAGGGAGCCAAACTATTGCCAATCTCCTAATTCATTTCATCATGCAAATGAGGCAATTTGCATCAATCTACCTTGACTGAATCAAGATTTATGATCTATTTTGTTGTGTGAAAAGGGTAATTTACTATCCGTTGTGATACATTTAAAACTATCATTAGATCTCTCTCTCTCTCTCTCTCTCTCTCTCTCTCTCTCTCTCTCTCTCTCTCTCTATCTCTCTCTCTCACACACACTATTGTTTATCGCTCAAAGTCAGGGATAAGTCTAAGGTTGAAAAGGAATTCAAAAGAAATCACATTTTTTTGGGCTCATCTCCATTACACTATCATCACATGTTGGCTCTACACCCCTTAAATAATTTCAATTCAATAATATGATGGATTGGTGATTGCCTAGATGTGGGGAACTCAATGATATTGAGAAAAGTTGTCGCCCCATAAATCACTGAGTTTTCACATTTCAGGAATTAAATTCATTACACCAGTAATTTGTTGCACATGGATGGGATATTCATGCAAAACACTAGTATAACGTTCTACATAGTTTACATGAAAGGCACATATTTTTTTATGTAAAATAAGGTACGTTCCTTTGCCATCTTGATGACCAATAATAAGACATTAGTACATTCCTTTGCCCACAACATCCATCCACGTTAGATCTGTGATTTGACTAAGTTGGGCTCATAACATTTCAAAGGCATCCAAGGTTTTAGTGAGTTCTCAATGATTTAGTTATTTTTCTTTGAATAGATGATAGATCTACGCCTGAAAAAGTATAAAACAAATCCAGATCATCACTTATATCAAATCCAAAAAAAAAGTAAATAAAAAATTAAAATTCTACCATGTGATATATTGATCAATCCCTGCTTTGTAAAATCATAGTACCATGTGATCAATGGACTCTTCTTTTATGCTCAATAATATGGGCCTTTCTACCAATTAAAAGGGAATAAAAGGACACAAGCATGAGGAACCTTGTAGTGTTTTCAAGCATTTATCATCTAATAATCTTCTTCAATAATTTCTCTTGGTCATGTACATTCTACTTTCCCTTATTTTTTCCCCAACTTATATGGTGGCACATGTATATATATATATACACACACACACACATTTAGATAATACCATTATTTAATTTGAGATTTGTATGGACTCTAAAAGGTATTTGATTCATTATAAAATACTATACTTTGGGCTATTTTAATACTAGATAAAAAAAGTATAATTAATTATATTTCTACATTCTTTTTAAAATTATATGTATATATCATATTTCATTATTCACACCAATTCCATCTTTGAATGGGATGAGATTATTGATCCAAGCTAGGGCTTTTTCATGAGGAAACACTTTATGTCACAAGTACATCTCTAGGATTGAGCCATATGAGCTTATAATTCAGTGTTTGGTGACATCTAATGGTTTCCACAAGAGTCAAGTTAATGCAGTGTCACCTTGGTCTTGGACCTAGGGACTGAGCATTCAAGGACTTGACTCTAAAAATTCTCTGATATTATTAATTGGGTATGAAAATTAAAAAACAAAAATTTATTTTAAACCTATGCAATATTTAATATACACACAAAAAGCCTAATCATTAAGTATAAAAGATATGACTTTGGGTCGATTAAAATGATTCAAAAAATGGAATCTAATTCCATTATGGTTCATAGAATAGGGTTAGAAATTTGTGTCATCCATTACCACCATTTTTCCGAATTATCATTCTAGAAAAGGCTAAAATGCAAACTTATTAGGGTTTACATGCTATGAGTGCCTTGTCAGCCTAAAAAATCGAAACATAAAAGGAAATGCTTGAATTTCTAATTATTTTTTCATTTTTTAAAAGATAAAATATTGGCATACCACCATCCAATAGGGTCAAGCATGATGGAAGTTCAAACCACACTCCAAATGTAGATTGGATGATTCCCATTTACCCAAATTGGAGAACATGACAGGTTGGGCCAGGCTCATTCACACCCAAATGAGGTACACAAAAGTTCTATGAAACCCCATCTCTATCTGACCACCCACATTGAGGCAATGGTAGGTTGTTTGATGGACCCAAGAAGATGGCTTGGCGTGTAGAGAGGAGCAGTCTCAAATTTCCTTGAAAAATTATTGAAATGTTATCTTTTTTACTGGTAATATAAATGTACAAGTAGACAAGGTTATTAAGTGTCAAATTCGGTAAAAATATAATCCCAATGTGGAAAAATTATTTTTTTCTGATAATATAAATTTTAATGTAGACAAGGCCATCGAGTGTAAAATTCGTTAATAAAATGATCTTAGTGTGGAAAAATTATATAAATATTTATAATTTTCCTGATAATATAAATGTATATGCAGACAAGGTTATTCAATGTCAAATTAGGTAAAAAGTCGATCCCGGCGTTGACCAGACGGCCGTAAGTGTGTGCGGGTGGGCGTAGGGTAGGAGCAGACCGCGGCGCCTGCCAGCGCAGGCCGTGGTGGGTTCGGTTGAGTCGGCGCAGCCAGCCAACCCCGTAGGCAGCGCCTTAATGGCTCACGTGCGTCACGTGGGAAGCGCTCTGCCCCATCTTCTCCGAACTTCGCCGCGTTTTCCGGATCGTTGATGACGTAGACACTCCGCCGCTTCGCAGTCTCACGCTTTGACCACGTCGTTCCGGTTATGGGGCCTACGGTCAGTGGGATTGGAGATTAATTTGTAAAAAGAATATAGTTAATAAATAAACTAATATCATAAATCCAAAGTTATTTTCTCATAACTCAATAAATAAGTCCTCCCATAAAAATGCTAATGCGTGGTTTTTTTTTCTGAATGTTTTCTTGAATTTTTTGGGTGGGACCCACGCAAATTCTCGTTTTGTTCTTTAGGGATCGTTAAGTCAACGCTGATCAGAAGATCAAGAAATCCAGGAAGAGTTGGTCAAGTTTGGTACAAAATTTGCTAGTCAAATCCAGCTTGCATTCCTTGTGACTGGTGGACCGACGTTGACCAACTAAGCGTGTGAATGGAGTGCTGGTTTTCGGTCAAATGGGGCTCATTTTAATTTTTTCAAAATTCAATTTTTTTATATATTTTAAATTATCAAAAAAATATTTTTATATAATCTTTGTTAAATAAAATAAACTTAGGGTTTGATGAGGGAGCTAAGCCCGCCGTACGATGCTGAAACCGGACCGCTACGACCGCTGTTGTGGGTTCGCCCAATTAGAGCATCCCACCTATTCCGCTGTGACCCGCTTGCCACGTCAGATTGACCTCGGTGAGGTAAGAGTACGAGGTGAGAGTAACTAGTCAAAACATTTAAATAAATATAAAATAAGCAAATTAGCGAGATTGTGAATTTAGAGTGAGAGTTTTTTCTATTAAAAATGGGTTTTTTGGATTTAAAATTGGGAAAATTGGCCGACCTCGGAATTTTATCCAGTCCGTTGAAATCCCCTCCTCGTTGACCTGGTAAAAACGACAAGTCAATCTTTTTTTTTCACGGTTTCTATCTCTCATTACCGGCTATAATAAACTAGCCTCCGGCTGTCTCTCCTTCCCTTCGCTTCCGCTCGCTCTCTCTTTCTCTGTCTCCCGTTCTCTCTCTCTCTCTCTCGCTGTCTAGAAATTCTTCACCAGCTCCGCCACCTCTGTAGCGCCATGGATGCGCAGGAAGCCTACCTCCATGAGGCCGAGGACGAGCTCCTCGCCACGTCTTCGTCGTCGTCGTCGTCCTCCGACCATGGGTGGCAGAAGGTTACCTACCCCAAGCGCCAGAAGAAGATCGCCTCGGCGAAGCCAGGGACATCCGATCCGCGCGTGAATCCTCGCAACGGCGGTGCATCTTCCTCGGTTTTCGCCTCCGTGGAGCAGAAGGCGCTGGAGCGCCGTCGCGCGCTGGAGCTGGCCACCACGGACGCTGCTGCTGCCGCAACTGCAGCTGCCTCCAGATCGAGGACCACCGGCCGGCAGTGGGGTGACTCTAACGAGGATGATAGCAGCGAGGGAGAGACTGCTACGGGGAAAGATGACGGTGCTGGGGAGGTGAAGAAGGTCAAGGAGAAGAAGCCGAAGAAACCCAAGATGACGGTCGCGGAGGCGGCATCGAAGATCGATTCCGAGGATCTCGCATCCTTCCTTCTAGAAATTGGGGTAAATTTTCCGAAAATCTAATTGCATGTTTCAAAAATTGATATTTTGATGTTTTCTTTTGCTGATCTTGATTCGCTTTTGTTGAGGTAGGGATCATATGAATCGCAGCAAGATATACAGTTGATGAGGTTTGCGGACTACTTTGCGAGATCTTTTAGTGCTATTAGCGCGTCTCAGTTCCCCTGGACAAAAATATTCAAAGAAGGCCCTGTCTCCAAGAACATTGATGTAAGAATCGTTTCGTTATTGTATAACTATATATGCACCTACTCCAATATTTGGAGTAGATAAATTTTTGATGATCTAATTTTTAGTCTTAAATTTAAATAAATGGTAAGGCTCCGATTCGATTTTCTGGATTGTTTTCTTTTGTCTGCATTTTCTGTTTCTCATTTTTCTACACCTTTAGGCATCTTGTTTCAAGATGAAAATTTTGCAGCAGCCAGGAGTGCTTGCATGCATGTGATTGTAATAAGATGTTTGAGTACCTGGCATTCTAGACATACATGGTAGGAAAATCTCGTCAGCTTGAGCTCCATTGTGTCCTTCCTTCTAGGAAAATGAGTAGTGGTGCCTACATCTCAGATCAGAGGAAATTTTGGGTCTGATCTTATTCATCCTTTTGTTTTTGGATGTAAATCCTTCGTTTTGTGACATGATCAAATTAATAATGTGGAGACAAATCTACTGCGTATCATCTGAATGGATGCATTTACTTGTCTCTTTGGATTAATGATTTTCTTTTTGGTGCATAATGTCATGGGCGTTAATTATCACTATTTTTTTTCTGGATTTTATTGAAGGATGTGATGATCTTCACCCATACTGAGAAGCTACATTTGCGTCTGACTAGTCTATTCCACTCTGTAACTCCATGTCCGTTTCAATTCAGATGTCTTGTTTTTTCCTAGATCTGTCTGAATGATTAACGGTTATCAAATCTTCAGATATACGATTTAATTTTGCCAAGATCGTGGTGAGTCCTTCAATGTTTCCTTATATTCATATTCCACCGATGCTTGTTGCTATTCACTGTGTGGTTAAAAGGTTTCACTAGATTTTCTGTTCGATGGATTTCGTATTTTTGAATGTGGTCTCTCCAGTTCAGGGATGACAAAGTTATGAGCGTGTTGTTTTTGATCTTTTAATTATAGTCATGAAGTTTTTACCCATGATGAATGCAGACATCAACAGTCACCAGTTGAGGAAAATAATTAACGAAGATCTGAACCATTGTGTCCCACATTTAATTGTGTAGACATGTGCCTGAGTAGTAGATCTGCAGGTTTATAGTCAGTCCTCATGAGAGCGGCAGGAATAACAGACTTGTGGAAAATTAGGTAGACATGAAAGATGATGAAGGTGCTGGATCTTTTATCTGATAAAGACTCTATTACCACGTTTAAAATACAAAAACTTATTAACAAATGAGGCACATGATAACATTATTGGAAATTTTCTTTTGGTTTTTCTTACGCATTTTTCTTCTCCTTCTTCCTCATCTTCTTTCTCCTCTTGTTTTTGCCTCTCTTCCTAAGTAGTTCCCTTTTATATTTTATCTTCTTCTTCTCTTCTTCTCTGGTCTGATAAATCTTAAAGGAGGACGAAAATTTCATTAATCGGCCCTCAGTTGGGTGAGATGGCTTCAATCATGTAGATCTTACTGAGATCTTCCTCAGTTCAGCTGGTTCATCATAAGAAGGATAAACTTTCCCATATGATTTGGTAAACTTTCCCAATAAAAGAGAGGTGTAGTTGTGGTGCTTCTTTTATTCATAACAGATCTCTAGAAGGCATACTAATTAAGATGCACACTGGTATATAACCATGGCCATATTTGTTTTGCATTCTTCAATATTATGTGGGCTATCTGGTTTATTGTTTTGTTCTTCCAGGAAACACCTGTTGTTGCACAATGTTCGGTAGGCATCGGAATTGTTGATATTTGACACTCTTTTTAGCACTTTGGGGTGCCAAGAGGGTTAATATTTGAAAATGTATTGACTAGGAAGGTAAGTAATTCTATGCCATGAGAGTGAGAGAGCCAGTGGTGCAAAGGAGTTGGTAACCGTTAAAAAAGTTGTCGTAGGATGGATTATCTTCAAAAGACATTTAACATAATCATCGCTGCATGCCTTCTTACTTTTGCGACTTGGGATTTTGGTAGTTTTTGCTAGCCATATCTAATACAAGCATCTTGACTGCAATACTATTGATACATCTTCCGATCCTTTCTTTTGTACTGGAATCTGATAAAGAACCGTTTTTCTTGCAAGCAGGTACCTATGTCTTACATCTCTGAATCTGTATACAAAGTTTCAGCTGATTGGATTGGTTACAGATCAAATGAGGCTCTTGCCACTTTTGTCCTATGGTCACTTGACAATCTCCTTGTTGATCTGGTCAGTCAACAAGCAAATCTTAAGGGCTCGAAAAAGGCTGTTCAGCAGTCACCGACTAAAGGACAGGTAATTTCAATTGGTTTAGCTATGTTTTCTTCTCTACATCAAAGCGGCCCTCTCACTACCTTACCATTGCAGCCATTTGGATTTTTAGATGATTTCAAGGAAGACATTTTCTTTTTCTTCCTGAACAGAGATCTGATATTGATATGTTCCTTTTAATGCTGCATCTCATTAACAGAATTATTCACAATTTGCTTCTTTATACGTTAATATTTTTCTACTACATCTTATGAAGGCCTTTGCCATGTCGTTTATTCTTTGCAAAGTATTTAGTAACTTACGGTTTTACTTCCAGTGGGCATCTAGCATTAATTACTCATCATTGATTGGTACCTACTTACAATTTTGGAAGCTATCACAATTCAGTTCTTGGGAAATCTTAATTAGTTACGTACAATTTGGTGTCTATGTCCAGAATCCACTGGCCTATTCTTTCCAAAAAGTGGTTAGTGTCTTCCCATTTTTGGAACCATTTGGAAATGAAGAAAATGTGGGTAAGGCAGGGTTTCTAAGGTGTTAAATCTGCCTCCTGACCAGGATAATAAGTTAAATGTAATATTTAAATAAAATAAAATTGAATATTTACTAAAAATATGAAATAAATTTGAAGATACAGAAAAGTTTCAGATGCAAAAATTCACACAAAGTTTCATAAATGCTATTAATTAATCATCTATATAAATGAAATAATGACGATAGAATACTCATTTCATGAAATTTTTAATTGAAATTTTTAGCAAAAGTGAAGACATTAAGTATAAATAGATATGAGAATGAATTATATAGATGTTTGTGTGTGTGTACACGTATGTGTCTCACCAGATGCACATATTTTTGGCCTCTCTGAACCGAAAGTACAATGAGTTGGCCTTTGTTTATCCCATGATTTAATGTTTCAACAGCCTCAATTGGGTTAACTATATTATTAATATTTAGCGGTTAAACATGAGTTCAAATTGATGTAATATTTGGTCGCCCTGGTCTTCACTTCGTTTGTTAGCTATGTTCAAGTGAGAAATAGGAGACGTGGATGACCATGGAGGGACTTATAACTTTGTTCAGATATCGGCAAGAGCCACACCATTAGGGAGGCGTAATTTCCTTGTGAAGAGTCGATATTTTATGTAGAGTATCAACATACTTCTCTTTTCTTTCTTTCCATAAAGATCTGAGGAAAAAAATCATACTACAGGAGAACCGACAACCTTAAAAAGTCGTATACTTTCATTAGGAAAGTGACCAACCTCTGTTGGGGCTATCTTTGTACTTTGCCTATTTCAAATGGGTCGATCACTTGGGGATCATTTGTAATCAAAAGTCAGTGGACAGATGATTACTACCTTGGGAAACATGGGAATTTAAAAAATCTAAAGCTTGACTAGGGTTTTGGATGTGGATATCACCTTGCAAAAGCATTAACATCTCATCTCCCAGAACATGTTTGGTGAGAAATCACTATATGCAAAACTTGGCCAGAATTTCAATTCATCAGATGAATAGTAATGATAAAGTCAACTGCAGGTTGCAATGTTTGCTGTTCTTGCAATCACATTGCGAAGGAAGCCCGATACACTTTTGAGCATCCTATCCACATTGAGGGATGATCGTAAGTATCAAGGACTGGACAAACTTCCTGTCCTCACCTGGGTCATTGGTCAGGTAACAATTGTATAACCTTTCCATTTATAATCCTTCTGACTGGAGGATCGAAGAAAGGGCGGCTCTGGATTTGAATCACCATCGCTACTTCTTCCCTGTGCACAGGCTTCTCAAGGAGACCCTGTTGTCGGTTTGTATGCCTGGGTACACAATCTTCTGCCTCTGTTGTCAGGAAAACTTAGTGGCAACCCACAAGTGAGGGATCTGATTTTGCAACTTGCAGAGAGGTATGTGCTCTTGGAATATCAATGGACATGATTATTCGTTATTCCCAAATATATCAAGTGGGCCTTCGTCTTCCTATCAGAATCTTGTCGGGCCCGAAAGCTCGCCCCATCTTATTGAACGGCGCCGTTAGAAAAGGGGAGCGCCTGGTGCCGCCTCCGGCCATCGACCAGCTGATGCGGCTTACCTTTGTTGCTCCCTCAGTCCGCGTCAAGGTCTGTGTCTGTTGTTGTAGCCTGGTTTTCCAATGAGGGCGGTCTCATATTCGAGAGCCTTGCAGGCAACCGAGAGGTTCGAGGCAATCTATCCACTGCTTAAGGAACTGGCTCTTGCGCCCTCTGGAGCCAAGGCAATGAAGCAAGTGTTACTACAGCTGTTGACTCTCTCCATCAAAGCGATGAAGGAAAGTAAGACCCGATGCCACAAACCCATTATAAATCATCTATTATTTATCCTTCCAGAGCTTTCTTCTCTGATGAGAACTTACATTTGCCTCCCCTCTTTGTCAGACATACCGGAATTGTCAGCGGAAGCAGCTGACGTCTTCATCTGGTGCCTGACTCAGAACTCGGAGTGCTTCAAGCAGTGGGTAAGCAGGTTATCTGACGGTCTCCAGTTCTGCAGCTTCTCAATCTCTTCCTAAATCTGGGTGTGTTAATGGAAGCAGGAGAAGCTTCATATGGAAAACATCGAAGCCAGTCTCATCGTCCTTCGGAAGCTCTCCGCCGAGTGGAAGCACCAGTACGCCGCTAAGTTCTCCTCCCACGACGCCCTGCGGGAGTCCCTGAAGAGTCTGAGGGAAAAGGTGGGCGGGGGATCGGAGATATCTTGAAATAGAATCATATGATGGTGAGACTCTGACCAAGCCCTACTTTCCATTCTTGGAACAGAACCACAGGGCCCTTGCGGGAGACGTGGATGCTGGCACCAAGGCGGCCATCAAGGAGGCGGACAAGCACTGCAAGGCAGTCCTGAAGAGGATCACCCGCTGCTCAGCCTGCGGTGTGGCCGGCGGGTTGCTGGCTGTTGCCGTCGTTGTTGCTGCAGCTGCCCTCATTGCTTCACCGGCGGCCGATTCCTGGGACTGGAGAGGGCTCCACTCCGTCTTCAACTCCCCTCGGTCCTTCTAAATGGGGAACGAAACCAGCTTGCGGAGCAATCCGCATGCAATAGGTGGACCAAGAAGGGTGGGGAAGTATGGGTTCTGAGCCACATTTCAGGAGAGTAACTGTTCGAGCTTCTTAGAGAGAAGGGGGTGGAGACAAGGGGGAAAGAAAGTAGGGGGGGGTGTCGAGTCTGCTTAGGTTGCTGTCTTTCCTTTCTTGGTTTTAAGTTTTCTTCCAGGGGAGATAATAAAAGTACCTGCTTTCCCTTGATAACCTGTAGGTTAGTTTCTGGTGGTAACTTGCTTGTTTTCAGTGACCCATTTGGCTTATTTGGGCAGGCCGTCTGATCTTAATTGCATGAGGAAGAAGATGAAAGATATCAGTCTGAGGATAGCATGTGCAGTGATATTGATCGATTCGCTTCAATGGGTACTACCTGGAATTGGCTTATAAATATCGAAGTTTGTGGCCTCTCATTGCATCTCATCTCATTTGATGATCATCAAGGAAGACTTTTGCTCTCCTCCTGGAGTAGTTTGCATGGGTCAGTGCCCTCCCCCCCTCCCTCCTTGGTGGCGATGGCTTTTTCTGGTATATTATTTTTTTTATTTTTTTATGTTGCAATATATTATGTTTTAATATGTTTGGAATTTCCCTAGTAAGATCGATACCAGTGACCTCTGATCTGATTTTGGGTGATAATTTATACCCTACGTAGGTTTTATTTATTTTTGGGCTGGGGTTTGATTCCCCACCATGGCAGTGTCAGTGCGGATTTTTAAGGAAAGCATTTAACTAGACGTCCAAATTTTAGCATATTGGCTTCTAACATAGATAGCTGATCTAGACTGATTTTGGCTTCAATCCCTGCCCAAGTAGCTTGCAGGGGTGGGTTTGATCCCCATCTTTCATAGTAGGTCTCTGCACAATTGGGGGGTTTGTCTTTAACAAATATAGTATCAAAATTTTATTTTTAATGCATATTTTCTGATATTTTCGAAGGTTGAACTCATATTTGCGTTGTTTCTTCCTCGGATTGATCGATAATCACATTGTGCTGCTCCGTTCATAGAAACAACGCTTTCGTTTGATATCAGACTCTTGCTTCATTCATTAATGAGGATGAATGAATTTGAATATTTCTGTCTGATTCCATGATTTGTGCGGATGATTTGATGATTTTAATGAGTTACAAAATCGAGAATCATAAGGTTGAAGTACGTTTCTTTGAAAACACATAAATAGAGTTTTAAAAGGAATTTTCGCCTTTCATTAGGCATAGAGGATCATAAGGTTGAAGTACGTTATCTGAAGATAAATATTCTCTTAGAGAGGGAGAGAGAGACAGAGAGAGAAACAATAAGATTAAGGCTCGGTTAGGCTGATCTTTAACAGGCAGAATAAATGGATGCCCAGGTCACCATCAAGAATCACCGCTATCCTTTCCTAGAGAGAGGAAAGAGAAAAACAATAGAATGATACTTATGTGTGGGTTATGCTCAGACTGTGATTTATAAGCAGGCTGTTGCATGTTAGGGCAGAGATGTTTACCCTCAAGTGAATATAAGCCCTTTTTTAGAAAAAAAAACACTAACGGACAGGATTATTTGAATTAATCAAGCATTATATTTCTACTTAGAATGTAAACCTTCCTAAGATACCTGGAACCTTATTCATATTTGACAAACATTATTCTCATTAATGAATGCTTAACCCTTTGTCCTAACCCATCATTTCTGTGCCAAGATTTGTGATTCATTACGGTAATTCCCTCACTACCCAGTTTAATAAGATAATCAGAGATTTTCTTCAACTTTAGTGAGAGGTAAAATCAAACAAGGAGAGATATCTATTACTTGATCCATTGGACAGAAAATCAGAAATGTACAGAGTGATTATGGTTGGGCATCTCGGCGATCCTGCGCTGTAAATGGCCCTCCATTCCCCACGCATCCGCCCCTTTGACGGAGGAAGAAATAACCAGGAAGAGGAGAGGGAACTCATGCGAGAAGAAACCCAGATACCTCAGCCTGATGCGGCAGACTCCAGCTCATCTTCTCACGTCCCGAATCCACCTTACATAAATATATGTTGTGCAGGGTTCATAGAGAGAAAACATCATAATAAGGGCCTTACAAACACGGAGTTCCGTATTTACTTTTACAAGGGGATTCGCCCCTCTCCTGAGAGAGGGATAACTTGCACAACCGACGACATCTTCCCTATCTCGGGTGATACTTTCTACGATTTCTACGGAGGATGGTAGAGACCAATGGCCTTTACTCGTTCTTTCCCTAACTTGAAATAAATATTTCTGTTCTCTCTTAAGAGAGTACTAAAGGAAAAATCACCCCAATAAGATCCGCTCTCTGCATTGATGGGTTGAGAAATCTCGATGGCCGCGTATTCTTCATTATATAGCACGCCATTTCATTCATTTATGAGCCCTTTTCTTTAAATGACGAAACTTCTAAAGTTTTCCCGCAAAAATATTATCAAGATTTTATTTTTGTGTGCTTACTCTATTTACCCCAATTCTTTCCTTTCTTGATCCTCCAAGAAAATATTTGTCATAGAGCCTGCCCTTACATCGCGCCTCTTGCCTCTCTCAAGCTCATTACTCGCATAAATAATACTCTTAGTTGCCAAAACTTTGTCTAAGTTCTCTTATCTCCCTCAGATCGCGCCACTTCGCATTACATTTTATTTTTCATCATAAACCCTTTTCTAATCATAAATGTTTTCTCAATTGAGAGCATCATCTAACGCCATCAGGCAAGTGATTTTTGAAATGTATCAGTCACTGTAGCAGTTAGGGTTATGCGGTTTTCTGTTTGAAAGTAGACTGACGATACATTACCAACCATTTTTGAAAAATCTAAATTCGTAATGGAAGAGGATATCACAGGAGAGAGAAGCAGAAAATGAGATATGATCCCTTGGGACAAGGTAGAGAAGGTATCAAAATCAACATCATAATCGGGCTTCATTCATTAGATAACTAACTTCGTTGGAACGGTGGAGAACAAGTGAGCTGAAGTGTCTCCTTTCATCAATTTCAATAGGTCTTAATAAATATATTTATGGAAAATGTATCACCAGCACAGCTATGCGAAGGAGAGCTATAATCTTTTCACAAGTATCCTATTTTAGAAAATTAGTTTCTAGCGCTGTTGTCTGTTCAAGGGTTGAACAGAGGTGATATAGATGCGAAACTCATCGGGATGTTGTTGGCACTGACGATGCGTCTCTGGACTGGGAATTTTGCAAAGAGTGATGCGCATCAAGATGAATTTCATATTTTCTTAAGAAAGTAGGTAATGTTCATATTTTAGATAAATACGAGGCATCTTCTATCTCTAGGATAGGCATGTAGTCTGAAGCCATTATTAGTTTACTAGGACTGAACTAAGTCACAGGCTGGAGGTGTAAAATTCTCAGTTGTTTCTACTCGCTCCTCTCTTTTAACTGCAATCTTCTGGACATCATTTTGTATTCCAGTTGAACAATGTGTCTCACTCCTCCCCTAAAACTCGGCGACAGCTTCGCTCATCGAGCATCTTCTTGAACTCGAAGCTCAAGCAGCCCACTGGGAAGAACTCTGCTCGATTCTTTTAGGTTGTTATTGCCCGCTGGGATTAGCAGGGTAAACGGAGGCGTCGCTCCTTTCGAGCACAAATCGTTCCAAGAACAAGGCTATAACACTTTGAATATACAATATATCTCCGAAAAAGGAGTCCCTTTTTTTGCTTTCTCAACTTCCACATCCATCAACCCGAAAACTTCATCTTCTTTAAGATGTAAACGTTATTTTTTATTTTCTCCCATATTTTGCGTTTTATATCGAGTCCATGGTGAGAGGAGATCCAACCGAGAGGCGAGTGAGACCTGCCGATTCATCCTTGATACCTTGCTTCTGTTGATCGGATCTGTCTTTAAATGACATGTGTGTGTGTGTGTGTGTGTGTGTGTGTGTGTGTGTGTGTGTGTGAGAGAGAGAGAGAGAGAGAGAGAGAGAGAGAGAGAGAGAGAGAGAGAGAGAGAGAGAGAGAGACAGACAGACAGACAGAGAGAGACAGACAGACAGATAGACAGACAGTCTTGATTAATCAGAGTGGACATAGGAAAAGAGTGCATCCCATTTTCTTGTTTCTTGATCTAGAATTATTCACTGGGAAGATGCACCCAGTTTAAACTATCCGGATACAAGATTCACGCTACCTTTTTTTGGAGTCCGATAAAAAATGTTGTTGAGTAACGCTGCCAACCTTACTCCAGCTTGTGCAATTCTCTTCTCAACAACGGGCAGCCTAGTGAAGAAATACTCATCTGTATGGCATCAAGCACCATTTCTTCAGTAACAAGGTTCAAGTTTCACTTTTGGCATTGAGTTTCAGTGCATGAAGATCCATGTACCTCCGAGAGACGAGTTCTCCTTCACTCCCTTATATGCATAATCGCAACAAAGCATGATGCTCTCAGAGGCATACCTATTGTGCTCCACGTTTTTTAAATTTATTCAAAGTATCCAGTGTCAATAAATGTGTCAAGCCACGCAATTCTAATTTGACAATGCTCTATGTTTTAAAAATCGGGTACGATATAGCTTACTCCGTTACACAAGTCAAGTCATTGCTTGCGCAGCTCTGCCACTGGATGATCTCGCCGTTCCAATTCTCCTACAAAAATTCAAGAATATTATTACCATGTATCATCTTAAATAACCTACATCCATTGTGTCAAATATTTGAAAACAGTAATGAACATCAGACGTCAATTTTCAAGAGAAAAAAACACAAAAAGAGTGATAATACAAAGAAGATTGTTTTTTTTAGTCAGGTGTACACGATTATGAAGTCATGAGGTAATAATTTATGTAATAAAATCTATTAAGTTTGAACTAAAAATTCTTTTATATGAAGGGTATATATTCCTATTTAATCAAGTAAGAAAATTACATAGCCTAAATTGAACGTGATTGTGAAATCAGTGAGTAGACCAACTTTCAATGTGTCTATCGTGGATAATCATAAACTAGAAACATATTGTTGTCCTAGTTATTTAGGCTTACCGCATTACTTACCCCATCTACAGTGAGATCATTTAAGCATTGCTTATGCTTTTCTGCCCAAAGTCTTTCCCATGACGTCCATGAACGCTACTAACTGACTCAAACATTTATTAGAAAATACACTATCAGACTTACAGTGATGTTTCCCTCAATGCTTTCTATCATGGCGTTGACATTATTCTTGTAAATCTTATTAATGGCGGTCTGTACAATGTTTACATCCCAGACCTGAAACAAAACCAAGACACGACGTCAATCTCTCTCTCTGTGCAGAGCAGCCTAACAAGGAAGAAACTTAGAGAACTCACCCTGTGAAGGTTGGTCTTTGACCCGTACCAGTAGACAATGATAAAGATGCCACCTTCGTCATCGTAGAAACTCACATCCACGGGATCGTGGACATCCCCCACCAAATGGGCGAGGAACATGAGGCTCTCAGTCAGATTATCTGGTTCAACCGGGATAGAGAATGATAACTATGGGTTCTGAGCAAGCGGGTAATTCGGATGATAATCAGCATTAGATTCCTCTCACATCTACTGAAGGGTTGGCCGAAGGTACGAAGCTGTGTAGTGTAGTTATTGATGGCTCCCACCACGCACATTCCCTGGACTCCGTCATCATTGTGGCAGTCCCCTGTTGAAGAGATGTTGATATATATGTATGTGCGAGAGAGAGAGAGAGAGAGAGAGAGAGAGAGGATGGCTTTACTGGACTGGTCATAGTTGCAGACGCCAGGCGTATTAACGTAATGGAGGGGAAAGGACCAGGGGTAACGGGTCAGAATGTCATCTGCCCACGAGCAGACCGCTGCTAGGTCCCCACGCGCCACCGGCGGCAGTAGATTCGCCACCGCTTCCCTCGCGTTCTCCGTCAAGAACTTCTGCGGGAAGAGAAACCAGTAAAATCCTCTTCGGTTAGGAAGCAGGCAGAAAAAAGATCTGGAGGTGAGGCATAAGCCACAAAGTTCTGGGACCTCTGCAATCTTGCAAACCATGAAATGGCCTTCCCTACCCCAGGCATCTATTCTGCCTATGGAGAAATAGGCAAGGAAGACCGGGAGCAAGCGCCAGAAGAAACCCATCTCGACCTTGGTCCGTCCTTTGATAGTTTCAGAGACGTCGGTTCCACATATTTATACAGTTTTGAGGCGACGCCGTCGAGGATAGGGAGTATACAGGAGAGATCCGGACAGATAGATGGCTGTGGGGAGAGAGAGAGAGAGCGTCCGCACTAAAACAAATATGCAAACCATTGATTTTCACCGTATTAAGTTCTCAACATGCGTTGAGAGATGTTATTGGCTATCGGGGTTCATATCTGATCGCTGAAAAAGGAAGAAAATCCTGGGGGATTTCTTTCCTTAAAGGACGAGCTAGGTGTCATCTTTCACGAACCAGTCGACACGCTAGGAATTTATGCGAATATGTGAGTCCGAGACGAGTCTCTTATTGAGTAAATCTGTTGGATATTACCTTTCTCTCTCTCTCCCGTCCTTCCATTTTCCTATAGGACAATTTCCATCTAAAGCATGGATAGTTTCTCTCTTTATCCTTCTTCTAACATGTGTATCTTCTTTAGGGTCTCACCCAGTTCTTGCTCTATCCGTCATCCAATCCAAGCCCAATCGATGCTCTTAAATTATAATTCTACAGTGAATATGCTTCTCTTAAAAATCAGAAGATTGTTCCGTCCCTGTCCTCTCTCAACACCCTGATGGAGATTGAACCAGATGAACAAAAAGACAGAATAAAGTAGTGATAAACCGAAGCATCCATGGGAAGACAAGCAAAACCAATTTCAATGCATGACAGTAATTTAACTGCCTAACAATACGCAACCCGTTATTTATAGATATCTTGATCTTAAACTAAATGAAATTATATCAAAAGAAATTCAATTGAAGCCAATAAGAAACCCATCAAATATAATTTAATGTAATCAACCTTATTACAATATTAGTAAATCATTATACATTAACGGATGAGAGAGAACGGACTGCTCATGCCCACTATAGACCGTCTAATTGGTAATGCCTGGGAGGAAGAGGGCCTCTTCTTGCTTGGACGACCTTGTCTCTGGAGGTCATCAAGAGGACTGAGCTTCTGCAGGCGACTAAACTAGGAAACAATGACGAATGCAAAATGACTTGGATGAAGTAACAGGAAAAGAAGACATTTTGGAGGGCGTTTTTAATGCCATCTTCTGTTAATTTAATCTGCAAGGCAAGTCTTCTGTGCTCTGAATTCTCGTTCTATAAAGACAAGGGGGTCTACACGGACCTTTTGAAACATCGACTTGCATTGGAGTCATCTGTCGAAGGATCAATGTAGTTATATCAGAAAAAAGAAGGGATTTCGGTGGGCGTCTAGTGCCATCCTCTGTTAACTTTTCTCCAACACAAGTCTTTGTGCTCTGAATTCTCTTCGTTAAGCCAATCGAGTTTGATGGGTTTGTTAAACGCTTCGAGTTGCATTGGAGTAATTTTTCAAAGGATCAATTTAGTTATCAACCATCCTTCATATTAATTAAAATTACATCTTTTGTTATGATAGCCTGGGTGTCTGTTGTTATAATGTTCACAAAATTAAAGATGATTGGTCAAACTTGTCAATACAGCCATCCACTGTACCCCACCCAATGTCCATTTTCTTTGCATGAGGAGCTCGGAACTCATTATTACCTTCAATACAGTTTCAGGTTTCGTTTTCCATGTAATGCGTCTTCTTGATAAAGTAGTGTCTTCTTGGGTTATTCACGTCTCCATCTTCAGCAATACATCATATGACAAACCTGCTTCGTGCAAGAAAGCACTTAGGTCTAATGGAAACAAATGATTAAAATTTGAGCTTAATTGGGCAGATCCAATTTACGTATGGTGAATTCATTTTAAGTCAGATGGTTAATACACTTTCCAATCATGTAGAGTTCAATGGTTTTAAGAAAAGAATAATAACTGATAACAATAGAAACCATGATCCACATTTCTCATCAGTTCTCTTATTTTTTTTACTGATCCTTCAACCACATGTAATACTTTGGATAAAACTAAAAATCATTAATATTTTTTTGGTACAATTTTTAATTATTGGATATTTGTCTAAAAAATATCATTCAATATTTTTTAAAAACATTATACATTTAAGGTAGGCAGAATACTTGATAAATCATGCCTTCTTATGTAGGTCACATTAGTTCAATTATAGTGTCCTCCCTAGATTTTTCTTCCTCAAAATTTTTCCTTGTTTTAATAATGTTGTTAATGGTTGTAGGAACTCACCGCTAGATAATACTAGAGTATATTGCTATCCTCAATTACTAATTCAGGGACCACATTATTTTCCATTTTCAAGTGGTGAGCCAAGCAAACTCATAAATTTGAAAGTAATTTCTAATACTTCAATTTAGGTTTGAAGAAAAATCGTGAGATCCGTTTCTACCTCCTCACAAAATCATGACACTATTCTTTTAAGTAGGAAGACGAGATTCATATCTGAATAAATTTGATATTTCAGTATTTAAAATTAGCCATTGAATGGAGTAATGAAAAATTTCAATGGATGTATGAAATATATATCAAGCTCAGTTTATATTATAAGTTCATTGTTGGTGAAAATTAGAAGTCATTTACTTGAATTACTTTTCATTTCATAAGAGAATTTTATGACTAAGATTTTCTGTTTTTGATTTTTCTTTTCTCCCGCCCAACTAGCATACCTAATTCATTATCTAGTTATATACCTATGGTTTCAAAAAAAATCTCCAATTTCTACTAATTGTTGCTAAATTTCAGAAAATAAAATTTTAATTTTGCATTTTCTTTATGCACATATATCAGATATATGACAGTTTCAACAGAAGGAACCTTATGTTTTTATCCAATTGTGATCTAAGATCCATATTTTCCTTGGAAAATTTATTATTTTGTGATTTCTGAATTTCTACATACTTTTGACTGACTTCTAATTTCTAAGAAAGAGATTTCAGATTTTCTTATAGGAAACTACTTTTCTTCCTAAAAAAGTTTCAGTTCAAATTTAACAAAATCTAGTGCACGTTCAAAATCAGCAGTGAAATCATTCGATTCCTCTGTAGACATTTCATCAATGGGTAAGTATTTTACCTCCTGCTCATGGGCTGCAAAGCAAACATTTGCTTTGTTTTCAATGAAGATTCATCTCCATCACTCCAGGTCACCATAATTGCGTTGTTTTTATTTTTATCACACTTGAGCTTTAGGTAAACAGCCTTCAAGTGACTTTGTTTTCTCCACTCAAAATTTATTAGCTCATTTTTAAATTCATCAGTAATAGCAACAAGAAATTTTTTAGACTTTATTAAAAATGTGTTCCCCTTTCTAACAAGAAATCTTTTAAGTCTCCGAGTCAACATGACGATCTCTTCGAATATTCTTCATCCTCTGAGGTCTCTTCTCCATCTTTAACTTCGGAGGATTTCAAGACCATTGATTTCCTAATTGATTTTTCTTCACTCATAACAAATTTTTCTAGACCCATCTCACATGCCAGCAAGGAACGTAACAAATCAGAAAGAGATAGTTGTGCGAGATCCTTGGCTTTTTTCGTAACTTTTATAATCAATGCACGCATTTTCATGAATTGGTGAAAACCTTACTAAGTATTAGATTTTTATTTTTGATTTATTTCGGGTTCCTTCTACACATTATTCTATATGAAAAACTTATTTAGAAAAGTCTCTAAAGTAGGTTGTTGAAAATTATTCCAGATATTTGAGCATCTCTTTTCACATTTAATTTTTTTTTATAATGATGTTAGAGAATCATGTCCATTACTAATTGGTTTAGAATGATGATGTGTCTACATAATACATTGTACAATAATAGTTTCATCCAGGATTAGGTACTCCCTTCCCAAAGCTTGTGTTGAGTTTATCCTGAGTTTTAGTGGACTATACTAGTCAGATAGTCGCTCATAAAGCTTTGTAATAACTTTTCTTTGCTACAGTGCGATGATTTTACTAAGAAGAAATGGCAGTGAAAAAATATACTAAATGATTTACAACCGGGATTTGTTACAGGTGTAAATCCCTTTTATAATTTATTGATATCCACATCGAAACCTTATTTATTATCCACAGAAGATTCAACATTTCATTATTCGTTTAACATAGATCAAAACGCAAAAAGATAGAAGAACTGAACAAGAATGATACGAAGTTCATGCAATCTGCAACCCAGGATTTATTGAGTTAAAACTTGGATCGAATATGCTGTTGAGCAATGTGGCCAATCTCAACCCAGCCTGTGCAATCCTCTTCTCCATAATTGGGTATCGGGAGAAGAAATAGTCATCTGCATAAGATCAGGCATTTTCGCTTAGTGACATAAATAGAAATATCAATACTAAAAAATCGGTATTTTTTTCTGGAGCATGTACCTGTCAATGTTGTGTTTTGCTCTACATCCTTGTATGCATACTTACAAGATAGGTCAATGCTCTCAGACGCGTACCTGTCAGTTTAAGAACAATTTCTTATTTAATTGAAAAATATGCAACAGTTGGTTTGTATCTGCTTCATTATATTGTAGTGTAAATGTCAGGAATTTTTGAGGTTTCTATCACGTACTGGGGTGCACAAGTCACAGTCTTTCTATTACACGTCTCCCAATCAACAATATCATCCGCCCAGTTACCCTGAAAAGGAAGAATAGGATCTGATGTAAGACTTGCTCAAAATGGATAATACTCATCTATGACGATAAGAAAACCATAGGAAATCAAATTATTAAATGTAATAAGAGCAATTAATTTTACGATGAGGTAAAGATGTCTGATGATGACCTTCGAGTATTAACTAAATATATAGAAATGTGACAGATAAGTTGGTCGTAAATAAATCTAGCAGTCTATTTCAGATTAATACACTAAGTTGTTGTAGTCTGTACAGTTAGTTAGAGCCTTTTTACTTGAAACTATTTTAGTTACTGTATTTCTAATGTTGGTCGACTTATGAAATATGTTCACATGGATGAGAAATTTTCGCATGCAACTCAGAAGGATGGAAGAAACTTTAATGGAAGAAACAGTATCATAGATGCAACTCATTTAACTCTACTACTCTAACGTTGCGGCCTTGATCGACGAGTTCACTGGCACATCGACTAATTCTTTCTTACTTACGGTGATGTTCCTCTCGATACTTTCTATCATGATGTTCTCGTCTTTGTTGTAGAAGTCCTTCATAGCCGTCTCAATCATGCTCACGTCCCACACCTGAAACAGCGACAAAACACATGGTGTTAGTCTCTCTCTCTCCCCCTCGGATAGAGACGAAATAGACTTCCAACAGAGGACAGTGCTCACATGGTGAAGGTTGGTCTTCCTCCTGTACCACCGGACGAGAATGGTGTTCCCACCTTCGTCGTCGAGGAACCCGACATGCAGAGGCTGGTGGATGTCCCCCATGAAGTGAGCGAGGAACATCAGGCTCTCTGTCAGGTTATCTGGTTATGCAAACCAGCATGTGATGGAACTAATCAGCGTGTATACCGACTCATATTTGCTTCTCTATGGATGATCAGTCTGAGACTTGTCTTACATCCACTGGAAGACTTTCCGTAGGTGCGGAGCTGTGCCGTGTAGTTGTTGATGGCTCCCACCACACACATATTCTGCGTCCTCTTCGCATTGTGGCAGTCCCCTTCAAGAAACATAACAAAGCATTTTACAGGGCCATGCAGTACTCTACCAGGGATCTTCGACGGCCCAAATGTAGTTGAGGGAGTCGTAATTGATGGGCAGCAGGGGAAATGAAAGCTCGATGTGGTTTCAACCTACACGGGAATTCTCAACGACTCTCCACTCCTAATAATCTTTGAACTTTACATCCACCCCCTGCACGAAAGAGACTGTAGACGGCCTGAGGAAGTGGAAAGCGTGGCGACGCGGGTTACCGGATAGGTGCGGGAGATGGCCGACAGAAGGGGAATGGGCGTGGATAAGGTTTGGGTTCTGAGCTGCACAAATAGGACTGGAAGTGTTTTGGGTTGTTTTTCTCCTCTTTTTTTTCTTTTTTTTCTTTTTTTTCTTTTTTTTGGGCGGGGGGCGGGGAGGTTTTCATCAGTATAAAAAGTTTTTATATATTCCAAAAAATGTCACAAATATGAAACAAAAATCTGGTATTTAACGACAGTAAGCAACTATATAACGAAAACGATTACTATGTGTTATGTGTGGAGGATTAAAATCTTGGAAATTAGAACGGTAGTCGTTGTAATTTAAGCATCTTGCAATAAATAACATTAAATGGGAAAAACGCAAATAAACCCATCCAGTGAAGAACATCCTTTCACGCCCTGAGTGCTGAACGATGTGGCCAAAGGCAGCCCAATAGTTCCGTCCCTAGTCTTCCACAACAAATGGGGTCAACCACAAAATCTATCGATTAATTGTGAAAACCTAAATGGATATTCTTCTGGTCAACAAAGATTCTATATGGAACCTCTAACACTCTTAATTTACAGCTCCTTCGTGTGGACGCCCACGAACTTCACCGCGAAGTTATAGCTGGGTAAGGACTCAATTCATCAACGACATCCTTGAACCCGTTGACGAGGCTACTCTCGCAGCCCTGATTCATCTTAGGCCCGCTCAGATAAGGCCGGGGCCCTGTTCCCTCATGGCACCGGTATGCTTATCCCCGTCCCCGTTGACCAGACCCATCACTCACGTTGAAAAATTACTACCGTCCGATCCTCAAAGGCCCTGTCAGCATCCTAGATCTATTGTTGACTGAATCCAAATCGCAGTACTGGTAAGGTCAGTAGCAATGGCTATACCAGCGACTGCCGTTCTCAACCCGGTTAGGAAGAAGCCTCTGAAATCCAATTAGGAATTCGCCTCGCATATCGGACTTTGAGGAACGCTTGGGGAGCAAGTTAATCGATCGAACGGATGGTTTGATCTCCGGGGCGGTAAGGGAGGGGAGCATTACTTTTGACCGTGAAGTCGCACACCCCCGGTGTGTTAGCGTAGTGGAGTGGACTGGACCAGCGGTAGCGGAACCGCACCTCGTCGGCCCACGAGCACACCGCCGCCAGCTCGCCGCCGGCGACCGGCGGGAGGAGATCCACCACCGCCCTCGTCGCGTTCTCCGACAGGTACTTCTGTAGAAATCCCAGCGGAGAAAATCTCGCGTTTTAGCGATGAGACGAGGAGAAAAGGGATCCGAAGAGATGGAGAGGAGGGGGAATGAAAGTGGGCACCTCTGTGATCTTGCAGACCATGAAGTGGCCCAACTTGCCCCATCCGTCCGTAGAACTGATAGAGAGAGAAACCACTAGGAAGAGGATAGGGAGGACACACGAGATAGAACCCATGATCTCCTTCGCCTCCAGAGTCAACACCGACCGCAGTTTTCCTAATTCCCCAATCCACTGGAAGTATTTATACAGTTTGGATTGGGGAGAGAGAGAGAAGACGACAAGGAACCCCCCCTCATTGGCAGGGCCGTCCCGTGAGAGACTCCAGAAAGGAAGGTACACATGTCCGTTGAGCCCTTTTGAGTTATCCTCACGCTATCCCCTCTCCATCAACCAACAGCCTGTTCTCCAAAAAGATAATCTTCAACGTGAAGCCTCCGAGTGAGAAAGGAACGAAGAGGTGGGAATATTCCTAAGCGTCAGATAAACTTGTCGTTCCTATCGCGGAGATCCGAAAGGACCGACTTCTGTGGGTTACCTTCAGTTTCTACCGCGCAACCGAGGGAATACGACAAGGTTTCAACGCCATGTCAACGGTGAAAGATCGGGCGACCAGACATGCAACTCAGAGTTGAATCGGATCGACCGTCCGTGAGAAGAGCGCAAATCAAGTACCCATGATCCAATACACCGAGGATTTTGCAATATATTCACAAAAGAGCGCTCGTACACATCAGCGAATTGGCTTACCGAGCTCACAGAAGGGTGGTCAGAAGGGAGAAATAAATCCCGAGGTGAACAAATCCATGGTCAACGTGGCTGGGATGGAGGGCTGTCATTTCAGACTTTTCAGCGTTGAACATTAAAACTAAATAGAAAAGTCAAACAATAGAAACCAGCGCTTCTTCGTGCTTATCCAGCTACGCTATAGATTAGAACTTCCAACTCAAACGTTCCTCGGAATTCATCTACTAAGGTCGGCGGTGTTTCAGCGCCTCATGGCAACTCGCAACTTCCATCAGAGCACCCTCACGGCAATTAAACGCTCATGTCTCCTTTCAAAGCGTCTCTCACCCTTGTGTTACTATCTATCAGAGAGTACTATTTATATAATTCTCTGAGCAACATGAAAATCTGCGGGAGTTCGGGAAGCTTACGGAGACCCACCCCGAATATAACTCATTTTTGGAGCTTTCTTTGGATCTTAACTAGATAATGCTTCCTAAATCCCAGAAAAATAGCATTTAGTTAAATGGTATCAGCCCATCTCCTCTGATGGGTTTTCTTCCTCTCACATGGTAGAATCATTCAGTAACAATTGAGTTACTGTCACCGACGCGAAAACATTTGCTATCCCACAGCCTTAAAATATTTTACTTAGCTAGATTTTCATCTCCGTCATGGTAGAATGCTTGTCTATTATTTTAAAATTGGGCGTGTGGTTCTTTTATTTAGTCCTCCATTAAAACTATCCTCAAAACTAGAAGAATATTCTTGGAATACTCGATGAGCCAATCTTATTGGTGACTATTTTGTTTTTGATGAAGCAACATAAAGTATGTTTTAGGAACTAGCTTAGACCTCGTATTTTTACCTCTCCGAACACAACACTATAATCATGAATTAGAGGGAAACAGGATGCATGGGCGATCGTAGAATTATGCTGAAGGGGTGATTGAGACGCTTCCCATGCGTGATCTGTCATATCGCTCTACCCGCGTGATATGATGGCCGAGGGCTTCGAAAGATGACCAGTGCTTTGAAGGAATACTGATCAGCAATCAAGTACATAAGTGATGGATCACACTCCTCTACCCGCATGACATGATGGCCAACGGTTACATATACATGACGGGTGCTTGAAGGAATACTCATCAGAAATCAAGTAGTTTCTCGGGAAGTAACGGGCCACCAGAAGATAAATAGCCTTATCCAGCCTTTTGCTTTCATATTGTAACAAAAGATGCAAAAATAGCTCAATTTTACTGCAACCTTGTTCAATACGAACATACACGTAAAACATGAAATCTCTCAATTTTGAAAAGGAAAATGCGGAATGTGTTATCTTGATGTCCATTTCGGCATCAAGAAAAATAGGAATGGAAGGACAACACAACTATGTTTTTAGAGGGATGGTGTGGATGAGGATTATAAAGGTGTTGACAATGACAATAGAAATTTGAGGGAAGAATTCGAATGGATGGCGTGACAGATGCCTAGGTCTCCACGTAGGTGGGTTTTACAGTGTGGCTGCATCTAGGCTTAACGAGCCATATAACAAGGCGAAGAAACGATTTAAAAGGCGCAGAGTCGCATCTGGGGGTTGCAGGCGATTTTAGTGGAGGAAGCGTTGGGGAGAGGGGATAGGGGATGGAGAAGGGATTTCTCAAAGGTAGGTTGTCGATGACTGGAAGGATGGAGAAGGATAGAATGTCTTTCACGAGTCATTGTCTAGCAACGTCTTTGGAATGAAAAATTTAATATTGTGTAGATATTGAGGAAGACGACAATCATAATACTTATATTGATACTAAAGAATTTTGTGAGATAATGGTGACAGTAGGCGGTTATTATAGATGGAATTTATGTTAAGATAGCATGTACCTGTCAAAACGAATTTATACAGGTTTCTAGCGATTTTTAATTTAATGGATTCATTTTTGCGTGAGAAATAAGAGGAAACTGATCATAACGGACGAAGGAGGAGAGTCATCAGAGTATTAGCCGTGAATATATAATTGGCTATGCTGATATTTAATGATATCTAACCCTAATGAAGATTAAAAAATACAAAAGTAAATAAGACTCTATACTGTGTGAGAATGAAGGAAATAGTTAATAGGTAAAAAGGGGAGGGTGGGCCATGCCAAACAACTAAGGTGAGGGAGAAGAGGCAAGCGAAAATGACTATCTTTGAAATATATTCATCAAACAACATGATAAGATGGAATACATTATTTTAATTCATAACCATTTACAGAATCTCGTTGAGTTTCACCCATTTTATCCGAATATTTGTTTTCCACATCTTAAAGGCATAACTTTTATGTTTTACGTAACTTATAAGATTTTGGAACTTATACTATGAATAGAATTCGATGAATATATTATGGAGCAAATGTGAAAGTCTCTTTGGTCTCTCAAGATGTTGCCATCTAGCCTTCATGTGCAACAGTGAACTTCAGAAGGTGGAGATAACTAAGAATGTGAGATTTTGACTTCCATAGTTAAGGATAACATCATTTCAGCATAAGGACAGCTTATTCTTGTTGTTGTAGCAAATGATCCTTACATTAAGTTCGTTTTTATCATTAGACAAAACGACTTTCATGAATTTTGGGCTATAAATGAAGATTTTGTGAACCAAAGTCAATGTTTTAATTCCTGATAATCCAAAGTATTAGTCAACAGATGGAGAAAGTAATCCGATTTATTTCAAGAAATTTTAATTAGGATAGAGGGATCGACTCTCTCATAATAGATGTCAACTGATGTCAGTCAAATAGAAAATAAAAAACAAGTGAGAGCCCATAAAGTGATGAAGTCATTAGAAAATTTGAAGTTAAGGAAGCATAAAGGTCAATCACTACATCAATAAGTTTCATCCATCATCTAAAGAAATTGAAAAATCGATTTCAAGTGTTGGCTCTCATTTTATGACTGTTTCTGTTGTCTCTTTATTCTACTGGCTTTACCGGCCATTTTCTAGCCATTGGATGAGTAGTTTTTTGCAGGGTCCAGCACAGGGCTACACCTATATAATACCAAGAAGAATGAAAGATCTGTAAGCGTCTATGAATCAATCTTACAACCATAGAAGCACCATCAAGTAACGAGACTCTAGAGATATCTAAAGATTAAGTGAACAGACCAAGCTTATCACAGTAGTCTCATCCAGGCATGAAGAGTCGTGTCTTATTTTGTTCATATTTCTTATATTAGGTACGATTGGTGCCTTTCGAAGTCGATTTGCATATGTTCGGAAGAAACCCAGTGAACTTGCTAGAAGAGGATTAAGAAGGAGAGTAGGTCTAAGCTTGACTGAACCATTAAAAAAAATTGTGTTATGTTATGGTGTGTGCATTATGATATTACATTTCTATCCAGCCCAAGAACTCAATAGCGACCAGATAAGGCAAGGATTGAAGTAACTAAAGGGATCGATTTTTCGATCTGTTAATGTACATACATTTCTACCATCTCCATTTTAGGGAGGAAAAGGGCCTACAGAAGCATACGGTCCGTTCCAACCCTCTTGAGTTCACGTTCTTCTGATGTTGTTCTCATACTAAGATACAAAAGAGTCAAACTTGTTTTAATGAAGCAATTTATACGAGATCATGGAGAAGATGGTCATGGCCAGGGACGGAGAAGATAACGGTGAATTTGAGGGTGATCAATCGCTTCTATTGCCTACCAGCAATCTAAAGCTTGATGTGTGCAACTAGAGATCGAGTCCTTCCCGTGAGGCCTTTTCTGGTAGAAACGAAAAGAAATAGTATGAAGGGATTATCCAATGGCTTGAGAAAAAATAAAGGTGGAGATTCAGATTGTTTTATGGTTATCTTCAAGAATGGGAAAGGCAATATCTTTAAATATGTAAACCAAAATCTTAGAATAATAATGAATTTTTTTTATTACTAGCCTGGAAATCAATTCTGATCGAGAAAATCTGGAAATTTAAAACAGTCCAACCCAAATTAGTACGGTTTAAAAACTTGTACACCGAAATCTTGAAACCCAACGGGAATGGCCTTCATTCTGAGCAAAATGCGGCAGACTCATCAACCATATCTGAACATTATTAAATATTTACCTCATATCTGCTTCACGAGCCGCAAAGATACGATTCCTGTAGCATTGATTGAAAGTTTACGCCGTGTGTGGGAGAAACATGAGAGTTCTGGAAGTATAAACCATTTAGAAAATTTTCTTTGACATGAATTAGTTTTGAGCGATCTATTATCCAAATTCTGAAATAATAAGCCTTGAGAGAATGTCAACGTTTCTTCTGGGAAAGGTTTCTGAAAGTCTTCTTGACGTGAAGTAATTATTATTCAGTAGAGTTTCATGTCTGAGAATCGTCAACGGACCGGAAGATATGCAGCATAACCCATTTACTGTTCCATGTTTTGGTTTGACATTAAGCAAAATGAAGAGAGAGACAGAGACAGAGAGACAGAGAAACAGAGGCCAATCAGTAAATATAAAATTGTCGAAGTATTTTATTTTTTTAGAAGAAGATTTCCCCTTTATTTGATGAGAGAGAGAGAGGCCAGTCAGTAAATATAAAATTGTTGAAGTAATTTATTTTATTTTTAGGAGAAGATTTCCCCTTTATTTGATGAGAGAGAGAGAGAGAGAGGCCAATCAGTAAATGTAAAATTGTTGAAGTAATTTATTTTATTTTTAGAAGAGATTTCCCCTTTATTTGGTGAGAGAGAAAGAGAGAGAGAGAGAGAGAGAGAGATTGGGCCTGAACATGAAACTCATTTTTCTGTTCTTTCATCTGATCCACGCCCTTCAACGAACCTGGCTCTCTCTCTCTCTCTCACGCAACCCATGGACAGCCCAGCGGATCACCCTATGGTAAATAAGGTTATAAGGGGGATCCACAAGTCCCGCGACGTGCTACATGGACTATTTTTATTGGTGGATTACACGTGCATGCGCGTCGTGGGAAACCATTCTCTTCTCCGGAATGCAGGAACTCCACGTACGAGCAGGACATAAATGCCTCAGACAACCCAACAATCACGCAGTTCACCCCTTCCGTCTTTCTCTCTCTCTCTCTCTCCCCTCCAATCACGTTCTTCACACCTTTCTCTCTCTATCATCAACAGTCCGAAGATGACTCATATCTTCTTCCATCTATACTGCTTTTCCTTCTTCGTGAATTAAGGTCAACCCGGGGGGGAGAATGCTACGCTCCTCGCTCTATCTCTATCATCAACGTCTTGCATGGACAATATGCCCCGCGGACTGCAGTCCATCATTCCTCTCCTAGTTCTCCCTATCCTCCTCCCCTTCTCCCATGCCTGGGGAGAAGATGGGCACCGCATCGTCTGCAGGATAGCACAGGTCCTCTCTCTCTCTCCCTCTCTCTCTCTCTCTCTACTTTCCCTGTGTAACGCGTGTTTTGTCGCAGGGGCGCCTGAGAGAAGAGCCAAGAGAGGTGCTGGAGGAGCTACTGCCGGACTTCGCCCACAACGATCTCGGCAACGTCTGCTCCTGGCCCGACCGAGCCAGGTATTGGCTCCCATGGTCCACCGCACTGCACTACGTCAACACCCCGGACCTCATCTGCGGCTACGACTACGACAGTAAACTACACAATTATCATTTTCTCTCTCTAGAAAGTGATGGGTCTGCTCAAGAAGATAACTTCCAACCATTCTCCCATTCTCTGGCGTAGGGGACTGCCGGGATGCCGCGGGGACGGGGGAGAAGGGCATGTGCGTGTCGGGAGCAGTCAAGAACTACACCGACCAGCTCCTCCGACACCGGGGGCCGCCTCTCGCCGACGGGGACTGTAATCTCTCTCTCTCTCTCTCTCTCTCTCTCTCGCTCGCTCTCGCTCTAACAGTCTCTGGTCTTTCTTCCGGCAGATAACCTCACGCAGTCTCTGCTCTTCCTGTCCCACTTCATGGCGGACATCCACCAGGTATGAAACCCTGTTTCCTCCCCTCCCCGGCATCGTTTCAAGCTTCTTGCAGAGCTATATATCGCTAAGGTTGACCTTGGTACTGCAGCCGCTCCATGCTGGGTTCTCCTCCGATAAGGGAGGCAGCACCATCGAGGTCCACTGGTTTTCGAAGAAATCCAACCTCCATAGCGTGAGTTATTCTCTCTCCTCGAGCTTCCTTAAGGCCGAGTTGAAGAAGTTGACGAAGTCCTTCAGGCGCTTCCACAGGTGTGGGACGAAGGGATCATTGAGACTGCCAAGCAGAGGTTCTACAACAACAGCGTGGAGGCCATGATCCAGGACATCGACAGGAACATCACCGTAAACCCTAACGCTAAAACCCTGAAGGTTCAATGGGTTCACTATCTTAGATTTGCGTTCCTCTCTTCTCATCCCCCGTGAATTCAACAGGGAGTGTGGGCAGACCAGGTGCCAGCGTGGTTGGGCTGCAGCTCTGAGGACACATGCCCTGACGTGTTCGTTCCAATCCTCTCTCTCTCTCTCTCGGCCCTGATCATCTTCATGAAATTGCCAGAAATGGAAACTAAGCACGGGTGATGTTCTCGTTCAGAGATGCCGCCGAGAGCGTACGAGTAGCCTGCGACTGGGCTTACAGGAACGCGACCAACGGGACAGCTCTCGGAGGTGAGCAGCCATTAATTTATCCTTTCCACTCAGGGTACCATCTCTCTCTCTCTCTCTCTCTCTCTCTCTCTCTCTCTCTCTCTCCAAAATAAGCTGACTTACGTGAGTCCTACCATGTGAGCGAGGATTTGCAGATGACTACTTTCTAACCCGGTTACCGGTGGTCTACATGCGGCTCGCCCAGGCCGGAGTCAGGCTGGCTTTCGCACTGAACAACGTCCTCTGGGATGCGGACGAAGATTAGTGAGAGAGAGAGAGCGAGAGAGAGAGGCAATTGAGCTCACTCAGTAGGAAGATCAGACCAGTTGAGGGAATATCTCCCCCCCCCCCTCCCCCTTTGATGGGTCCTGTGTTTCTTGGTAAGCCGATCCAAATTGGGCACAACGTTGACAAATCAGATTCTGCCCGATCGACGAGTCCAACTCAGGCTACTAATCTCTGGACTGGGCAAACTGCTCAGGGTCAACGCTGGCCTATCCATTCAATCTAGAAGACAACGGATGTACCCACGGTTGACCATACTCACCCAACAGTAAGACCATAGATTATGAACCAGGATTTTCCTGACGGAAGCAGGGAAGAATTCTAGAGAGCCGTAGCCTGTTCTTCTTCCGAGAGCTCGTAGTGGACGTAGACAATGCCTAGCATAAAAGAGGAGAAGGGAGAGGAGGGGACATTAATTCAGCATTTTTAGAAGGAATCCAGGTGGGTAAAATGAAAACAATATTTAAAGGACAGCATAATATTAAAATATACCCAGCCTTGAGGTTATGATATAAAACTCATACTGATCTTGAAGGCTTTAAGGCACCTTATTTTCACTACAACCACGGACCACAGTCATTGGTGCATCTGGTTGCTGACTACCGTTGACTTATCATATCATTGACATATTTTAAGAGGGTATTATATATATATATATATATATCATGGCTTCTTTCTCCAAAGATCTCAGATCGTTGTGCCAGTACAACTTAGCTGCATGGGCAGAACAAAGGCCCAAACCTTCCTAGTAATCTCATGTCATCAATGGAAACAGTGACGCCAAAGATAAAGAAATTCACCACACAGTGTGGCTGAAAAAAGATAGCTGTTGGGTCAAACAGAAACCATGATGGTGTGAGATGGCGGCGCATCCATCAGGAAGGCGAATTGGGCTCCAACAGCTGCTGCTACTGAGAGGTTGACTTCCTGAACTGGACGTGAGAGGTTGACTTCTTCTGCCTTGAACCCCGAGATTGCCCACATGACAAACTGATCACTACCCTCATAATCTCATCATTACAGCAGACATATTAACGCAGTTTCTCCTCATTCTCTTTTAGAGTTTCTGTCAGCCTTATTATATATGTCAATCATCCGATAAAGTCCTATCTAAATTTTCTTCCTTAGGACCTCAATCTGAAGGGGGAAGGTTGGTGGAGGACGTGAATCAGGTGGCTTCTATATATCATTCTCATGATCAGTTCAAACCCATTAGAAAAACTCTATCTTGATCATCGCTTCCATGTAGTGGTATTAAGCCAAAGAAGGCATCCGTCTCTTTTTTGCCTGTGATGCTAAAGAGTTAAGGAACCGTCACTGTTCGAGTGTTCTCCTCTCAACTTGTCATAAAAAGCTCTTCTCCTTTGCAATCCCTTCATCTTCCTCTTCTCAGAATGTAGGACTAAGGAAAAGGTTGCTCAAGTCATACGAAAAACGCAGTGGAGTGCTTGATTGGCCTGAATACATTTGGCAATTTCTGTGGCTATATTCATAAAATTTCTCATGTTCGTACTCAACAAAATGGAACAGCTGAATGTAAAAACCGTCATCCTCCTCTTGATACTGCTCATACCAAAATGCTGTCCACGCATGCACACAAGCCCTATTTGAGTGCTTCCATTCTTGTTGCACGTTGTCTAATGCATGGAACATATGGCATCAATTGTTTCGAGACTCTCTCTCTAGTGGGTCGATTTTAGTTCTTCTTGTGTTCTTTACCCCTATTGGAATTAACCATGGCTAATCTCTTTTCTCAATATAGATAAAAATGATCTGTAAATGAAGCATATGAAGCAACCTCCAGGGTTTTTAGTTCAGTGAACATTACCACAAGTTTGCAAACTAAACGTGATATATAGCCTACAGAAAAGCCTGCAGGTTTGGATTGAGAAATTCAGTGGAGTCTTTGCAAATACTCGAAAGGATTGAGAAAATCCTTTCGAGTATTTGCATTCTCGTAGTATATGCGGATCATTTTCTCCTTTCACATAGAAATTATGAAGGCATTCAATAGGCTAAGATAAGTCATAAAAGCAATTTATGACTAGGGATCTCGAGCATCAGATATAATTCTTAGGGATGGACGCAGCAGCACAAATCAAGCAAGGCATTTTTCTATCTCAGAGAAGGTATGCAACTACTCCTACAGAGCAAAATGTCAATATGCTACCAGAAGATGAAGAAATTTTCAGTGACAAGACAATGATGAACTTGCATCTTCTTGGCAAACTCATCTACTCGAGTGCTACCCAACACGATATTACATTTGTTGCCACAGTAATTAGTCAGCTTATGGAATATGAGACTACAAACCATTGGGAAATTTCTTCCGAGACAATGAGCCCCAAAAGAATTAAAAAAAGGAAATCTCGAAATTATGACATTATTGACGTAGATTGCATGCGGTGGAAGAATAAGGACCCTCTATTATTCTACAATGTGCTTTTATGGGTGAAAACTTAGTGCCAAAGAAAATTAAGCACACTATGTAAGATGCAGGACTAAGGTAGAATATAGAATCATGGATCTTATAATTTGCAAGACAAAGTCGGTGAAGCCTCTCTAAGTAAGATTTTAGCATTGATTAAGAAATTGAGTCGGCATCATGACAACAATTATCAACCAAGGAGAAAATTGAGCACCAAGTCTTACAGTCAGAGATAATGAATAAATGATTCTGAACAAATGTGGAAAATTTAACGTCATGTGGGTTAATGAGAATACCTACTTCAAGTTGGAAGAGGTGACGTCTGTTGTTGATACTGGAAAGCCGCCTCTGACAGGTCATTTGGAAGAGGTGATTTCCTAAAACGTTCCAAGGATGTTGCTTCAAAAACACCTATAATTTCATCAATGGATTAACATACAGAAAGAGTACAAATAATGAATGAGCATACATCAGTAAATATATAAAATGGTCATAGACGTGATTCAAGAGACGGAACAATGCCATTATACACGACGTTTTACGCGTGCTGAGGATACTTCTCCTAGTCAGTTGGCACTTGAAAAACGCAAGTCAAAAGAGCCTTACACTAACCTCAACTTCAATAGACAAGCATTATCACTAGAAAAGGCACAAGTTGCATTAAAAGACCTATAGTTGCACAAGTTGCAGTCTCCCAAACAAGGTTTTATTAGGCCTTTATTTATTTATTTATTTATCTATTTATGAATTTATATATGAATTTATTCTCTATTTGTCAGACCAGAAACTGCATTTACAATAAAATTTATAAGTACAGAAACCATAGAGCATACAGCACCCTCTGAAGGTGACAATCTACCAGTTCCCCTTGGCAATCGTAAAAACTAACATAATTAATGTGATGAAACCAGGGGCAATTCAACATTGCAAATATACAGCATATTTCCAAGGCAGATTACAAGAAGCAGCCATAATTGTACATTAAAAGCTACTTCATAAAAACAACTTTAGAAGATCTGAAGTCATACCCAGCCCTAAAATTAGGGAGCAAATCAGAAAGCCAACAAGCGAAAAATCCATTTTGTATGCAACCTCCATAAGAATAATGCATCCTCCAGCTCCGATTAAATGCCTCGGAGAAGAGAAAACAAGATGCAACCTGCAGATGGATGCAATCCACAACAACCTTTCATGTCCATTTAGTGATTATACATAGGTCCATACAGTCATTACAATCTGTATAGTATTAATCAAACTCGATACAGCACAATACACAGATCAAAAAAGCCAAATTACAAGCAAAGGAAGATGGGGCCTACAACAGAAATCAAATTGACGGCACTTTAAAATGGACACTTTTTCCACAAACTTTGAATGTAAACTTATGTTCGCTTCAATAAAAAATAAAAAATTATAAAATATATATCTCTGACTACATTATGGGAATCACATCAACTTGGAGCAAATCGAAACTTTGATGCCCCTCACGTGGCTACCCAAAGGATTTTCCCGATGACTTCTTATTAATTAATGCTACATTGACCGGACCGCTGTTGCCTAGCCAGTGATTTCCCCCTAATGTAGCAGAAAATAGATCCATAGAAGTTGGATTGAACTAGGAAAGGATGGAAAGCTTTTCTGAAGATGTCACACTCCAGGCATTCGAGTTGGGTGGCTGGAAAAAGCCAAAACAAAAAATCGGTACCCAATCCTTATCAAGCATTGACATCACAGTAAATCTGATATATTTGAGTCGGCATAGAACATTGAAATGGACAAACCCATCTCTCTCCCTCTCGTTAGCATGTATGTATCTGCGTACACGAGTTGCTACAGCGAAACAAGAAAAGCAATAAGAGACGCCTACAGTAGTATACTGGTGGAAGATATTCAGGAAGTGGATAGGGTGCAGTGGTTCCCATCGAGGCAGTCTCTACTCAACGGAACGTATCCACAAAGTGCAGGCAACAAAGGTGGAAGGGAGAAAGAAAGGGAAGCCGCAGGAGAAGATAAAACTTCCAACTATTGCAACTCTCGGAATCAGGTTCAATAAAAGTAGCAAAGGAAGAAACTTTCAATGACATAAAGGGTAAAGAAAACAGATTGCGAGCAGCCAGTTGACTATTAGGGTGCGTAAGATCTTCCTTCAGTGCGCATTACCTTCTGCCACAAGAGAAAGCACGGCTCCCTTCTACACTACAAGGTACTTTTTACATCGAAGGGCAGAAGAAGCATTCACATCTGCAGCTAGCTCTCATATTTACTAAATTTAGACAAAGAAACATGGGGCAAACCTTCTGGGATCCAATATTTAGTCATCAAATAGTTCATATCTCTTAGGGTATCTCCAAATCTTCAATAAATCTAAGAACCCAACGGACGAATGTTCTCCAATATGATAGATAACTTATAAAATGAACAGCTATACTATTACCAATCACGTTACTCTAAGAATTGCAACATTCAAACAAGTGTACTTCCACTATTGGGAACTCCAGTTCATTGTTAAACAAATAAAAAGAAGGGACAAAAAACGATATCGGAGAACAACTTTAATACTTCGTGTGCATGTGGTGGAGTAACCAAAAAAACTCTGCCAAGCACTGACAAGCATAGTTTTTCCATAACGGAGGTCTCTGAATCACAGTCATAGACCACCAAATTTTTGAAAGTGTTGAAAGCCAAATAAAACCTGTAAATGTGAAGCTTCATAAAGCCACTCATTCTAAGAAAGAAAACTAAAATCATCATCACATTCTTTTTGTCCTCCGAGTAGTAATTTGAATGGTAGTTTTCATGTTGATCAGGTAAAGAGAACAAAGTTCCTTTTCTACGTGGTATACTTTCGAAAATAAGTAAAGACCATTAAGGTCTCAAGTAAGAGCCAGAGGTCTTAGCTTGAGCTAACAATAGAGTAACAGACATTTAAAATATTAATAAAGGGTTAACTCAGTAACTAATATGTGCAAGACAAAAGCATCCGGCCAGATATACTAAGAGGGAAAGTTACAATGCTAAAGGCCAAACAAATTATCCAGGAGTGTAAGCGAATTTTGATAAGTCCCTCAGTCACAGTCACACAAACACAGGGACCAAAAACAGGGCAAGCGGATAAAAAAGATATTTGACGAGAGAATCCAACAGGCATACCTCTCCTCGGCAAGATTATCAATGTAGAAAATGAGAACAATTCCAAAGACAACAGTGCTCAGGTATGCCCAAGTTGGAAACGGTGACTTCATGATGCTATCAAAAGAACCCTGAAGTTGATTAAATAAAAATAAGACCATCACAGAGACTTGATAAACGACATCAGTTAATTTGTTAGCAAAGACTCTAGAGCTGCCTACATATATTTCTTAAGAGAATATTTATGAGATTAAACTCACCAAAATTGAATCCCACATTGCAAAAGGGAATAGAAAGCATGTAGCAGAAGCTATGGTTATTGCATGCAGTCGCCTTTTCAATTGGCTCTGAAAGGATCAAATAATTGTGATCAATTGAGTACACCTAAGCTGTTGATTTTGTATAAAACGATTGGCAGAAAGGAGCATTACCTTGAGTGATAAACGTCGTGCCATCACCCTTCTTAATGCAGACAAGATCCCAGCAGATATAGGAAAAGCCATTTCCCTAATTCCTAAAGTATCCGTCGTTTGAACCAATGGCATAGGACCAATGCTATCTTAAAAAGGTAGTTTAAGGCCAAGCCATTGTAAGCATGCAGATAGCAACATATGGAATCGATATACGACTAAAAACCAGTTTCCTGAAAGTTCACACTGAAGAGATAGCTTGCATAACCCCATAAAGCATAAAACTTCAACCAAGGAGTAATTGTCCATTCAACATGAAAAACAGTAAGGTTAGGCTTCTTGACACGATAAAAACAATGGCGACAAGAACCCAAGATATGGCACAGATTATACTCTGCAGGATACAAAATGGTGAGTACGTTCTCGTGGCCCATCCTTGAGATAAGAAATAGAATGATGCCAACATTGCCAGTAGTCCAGCAACCTATGAAACGTCTGATGTAGATGAGAAACTCAACATAAACGAACACAATACTTGGAATCCAATCAAATGAAAGAATAACTCTGGAAATTGTTGTCTGCATAAGTTTTTTCTTACTGGTTCTCCAAAGTTATCCTTTTCCTATAATGACAGAAAGTTCACCATATATATTGTAGAAACATAAGGACTACCAAAAAAGACCTTCCAACATGTTCTGAGGGCTCATAGGTGAAGGACGAATGAAAATATGTCCAAAATTACAACTGATGATCATGAGATCACCGAGTGAAAACTTTCTTACCTCTACAACTATAAGCAAAATAATTGGAGGTATTAAAAAAAGATCTGCTTATGCTCTTGATTACTAAATTAATTTATCTTGAGTGCATGAATAATGTCACACCAAAGTTCACATTGCCTGCAATACTTCTTTTTATACAAGTAAACGGCAAAGATATCTTGATTCCTGACCGATATCATGTCTTATCCGAAACAGCACAAGCTTTGCAATGAGCTTATTTGTTTCTACATGAACTCACAGGAATCAAGCCATAAAGCTTGACCGCTTGGGTAACATAGGCTGTATAGATGGGTGTATTCTGGAGTAGAACATAGATGGGCAGGTCACAACAGAGCGTTTAATGTCTTGATGGAAAATAATACGTAAATTTGGGGAAAGATTGTAATTTTGGGCTTTCCCCAATGTCTCCAAAATTTTGGCGACATGTTGAAAGATGAAAGTGCAACTCGCTTCTGCAATAAAGAACCTAAGATCAACCTCCATTGAGCTATTCACTCAAAAAGAACAAGAAAGACTAAGCAGGACATACAGGGAAATGGAATACGGATTTCTCTCTTCAAATGGATACCACAATGATATAATCCCTTCAAATAGTAGACTACCTAGTGGCATAATCCGTAATATAGTTTAATATCGGTAATGAAAGAAGTTTGAGAAAAATAACCGCAGAGGAAGTTTGAAAGACAACAATTTCATAGAAAACCTAAAGTTTATAGAAATTAACTTGAACCAGGCCAGGAGGACAAGGTAACTGCTTTGAAACTGGTTAATTACATGTTAAGGTACACTTTCATCCACAAGACAGCTTCTTCTGTTTCCTCTGGTTGTAATCATCACATTATGAATGCAACAATGTCTCGATTAGGACTTGATTTTCATGAAACTAGGGCAGATCAATTATTGTGTCATTGTTGCCTCAGGAAATAATTTTGATGGCTGGGCCTATGTTAATAAACACAAAACCTTGAGCAGTATTTACAACTCGAAGAGATATTTACAACTCGAGCAGTACTTCAAGAGTTTAAAAAGAAACCTGATGGCAAAAAAATGTCTCAAAATGAATAAATTTCAAGAGAAGAACACTAAAAAACAGAGCACAAAATCACCTTTCTCCATATTTGGCTTTTCCATCCATACAATACCGCAGATAAGACTCCTAGTGTAGCACCAGAATATTCAGCTAGAACAGCTCTGAAGATTCAATAAGAAACTGAATCAATTACAAGCGTATATTCCCAACAGGTACTTCATGTTTTAAGTTCAGAAAGACCAACGCAGTCATCTTAATACTGAAGCCTACATCCATTCATCATTGATTTAGAAAGCAGTTGAGAATTATAATGCCTTGCTTTGTATTAGATGTAAAAATCAGTACGAGAAATGTCCACCTCTCTCTCTTATTTATGAACAATCTAAAGTGAAACAGCTAGCCAACAACTAGGTTTATATGTAAGCTTAAGTTGAGTCCAGGCACTTAGAACCTTTTTCAACAATCATTCAAATTGTCAGCCATCAATTCCGTAGAGAATGAACAGCGTATCTGGCAAGGGGGAAGCCTCTACAATAGGCTTTAGACTAATGTCAAATCAATTAAAGATTAAAAAAATTACCGCTATGGATCCTCTCAAAGCGTGCATCATGACATCTCTCTATCAACAATTTTTCATCTTCACCGATGCATGCTAACAAAACAAAGAGAAAATTTAAACATAAACCAAGCAAACTTTCGCCCCAAATCCCAGATCTAGGTAGATTGACCCGAAACAAACAGATATGGTACATCAATCTACCTAGATTGACCCGAAATAAACAGATATGGTACATCAATCTACCTAGATTGACCCGAAACATCAATCTAGGTAGATTGATGTAATTAAAAATACACTAATCAAGAGAATGTTAGCATACAGATATGTAATTTAAAAGCTTGGATTATAAAACAAACACAACTACTTTATAGAATAGGCGTACAATGTCAAGAACTTTCTGCGTCCTTAAATGTTTCTCTTAAAAAATTGGGAAAATATTTCGTAGAGAACTGGAGAATATGCAAAACTGGCTGTGGCGCCATCCAATCCACCTTACTCATTCCACAAGTTGGATCTGACAAGAACACTTATTAGTATGAGTCAACACTTGCTGGTTACGGTTTTTCTCTCGCCTTGAGTGACAACCATATTTTTTAGAAAGCAATCATAATCAAAACAGCAATGGAAAGTCGCGCCAACTTAATTTTTGGGTGTGGACTAATTAAGCCTCTTGTTTTAGGAAGCCACTTCAGCAGTCCGCTTCAACCACATGAATCGTTCCTCTAATTTCCATTAACAAGGAGCTCGACCATTCATGCTATTGTTGGGTTACAGCAGCAGAAACAAAATCTGGTGAAGCCTACCTTTTACAAAATGTTAAAATAAAATAAAGAATTAAGATCACAAGTCTCTATCTTGGTCCTTGATCCTACTACACACTTTCTCAAACGAAAACCAGATGAAGAACCTTCATTAATTTTCTGAATTACCCAGACACTCTCTCACTCCACGTTTTTGAAAACAATGAAAATGATAAAGATTAGCTGGGAATCAAGCATATGCATAGAGAAATTATACGCGAGACCAAAATGGAATGCCAAAAATAACTCATCATTTTAGAATGGATATGTTCATAGAGTCTTACATGGCTTTAGTATGTGCACATCAATCCGACGAGAAAAGAGAAATATGGCAGAGGCTTAAGCGTTCAGTTGCTATATAAAAATAAAAAAAGACAAAAAAATATGAAAATATTGCCATTAGGGCGACGTAGAGTTTTAGATACTTATCAAATAACTGCAGAGAAAAGTAATTGAAAATGATTGCAAAATTGATCAAACTCACATCAAAGGTCCGCATGTTTTGAGCCCTTTTCCCCATAAGACAAAGTATAATGCCGTTATCCCTCCATTGATAATAGATGGTACGACCTGAAACACTAAAGCCCATCAAAATAAATATGACGTTGAAGATTGTGAATAATCTGGATCGTAAAAGAATTGTAATATGCCACGTTTGATAGTTTTCTCTTCAAAATAATAAAGGAATAATCAAGGATGTACGTTAACCTGTGAATTAGGCATGGATCTTCCTTTCCAAGGTTTCTGCAATGCCAAAAAGATGATAGATGCTGGAACCAAAGAACCACACAGAAAAACGACCACTGAGACCTCTGAACTTGAGAGATAGCGATACAGAGAGTAAATTGACCATATTCTCAAAAATATGCCAATGACATGAATTATCTGCAAAGGCCGCTGCCTATATTAACACAAGAAATGAAAAGAAGTCAGAATCACATTGCGTGAGTTCCCTCTCTAAATAATACTAAGAGAGGCATGGAATAGAAAAACAAAACAAAGTGTTAAGAAAATTTGTGAAAAGAAATATAAGAAACTGTCCATAAAGAGTGATTCATCATTCATAAAACTCATAACCAGCATTGAAGACAGGAGAAATAAGAGTATGAGGAAAAAAACTTTCAATATTGCATCTAACATCGGGATTGAAGGTATGACATCACAAAAGGTTCATGTACTCTATAATGGTGAAGTTTGAAATTCCAAGTATAAAACCTCAACAACAAGAGAATACTCTGACAAGCTAAGCTGTAATGTAAGTAACTCAAGGTACTAGAGAATCTTTCTTTTTTAAAATGCAAGTTAGAATCTATCTAGCTATAATAAATCAATCTTAAGAGGTAATGCTTTTCTACATTGGAAATGCTTTTCTACTAAAATATAAGGAAATGCTTTTCTATATCTGGGGAAAGCAGTTCACATCTACTGACGATTTGGGCAAACCAGTTTCACTTCCTCCAATTCCTACATTGCCTACTTGGCACAAGGAAAATATTTATAACAGTACTTTTATTGTAGTGAGGGGGGAAGAAGTCTTCCTCATAAAAAAATTTCCCACAGAAATCATATAAGATAACTCTTTCAGGCTAGAGGATATGCAAAAGGAAATGCGTCCACCTGTAAAACGGAAGACAGATATCAGAAAATAGACAGATAAACTTCAACGTCAACTACCAGCAGATGCACGACCTCCATTTTCCTTAGTAACAATAAAAGGAAACCATAAATCTGAACCTGGAAGAACCCATTTTAAATATTTCATCTTTTAAATCATTATCGTTCAGCGTCACAACACCAGAGAGTTGGGAAACTACAGGTGACCGTACTTGTCCGCAACCAAAGTTACCAATCTTACACAAGCACTAAAGTTTGACTTGACCACAGACAGTTATGCATCAGAAACATATCAAGTCCAAAACTGAGTCAAAACCTGTCTAATCCCTCTACAACTCTGTTGGACCTCGATGTGCCGGCAATTTTGCTAAAACTTCCTGACTTCGTTGTTTATTGAAAAATGTTAACTTGGTAACATCTCGATTATTTTTAAGCCAACTCAAATCGTCCATGAAAGTTTGAAAGGTGTTAGCACAGTTTTCAAATAGCTACGTTTATGTCTGGATGCATTCATAAGGTTCATTACACAAAGATGACGACTACCAGAACACAGATATAAAATTGGGCAGATTATGGCTGGCCCAGTCTGGTAAAAATCCTTCCTACCTAGATATACTCATAATAACACAACATTTAGCATATCCGACTAAAAATCGCCGAGCCAAACTGGAAGCAATGACCCCAACCTCTCAACCTCCAGTTTGAGAAGTCACACCATCCACGGGAAGTACGAAATCAGAACAACAGAACAAAAAGTGGACACGTTGGCGAGGAGAGGTAAATGAATTAACAAACGAATGTTCTCACAATCTCCTTGATTCAAATTCCCAACGAAACAAATTCGCCAACCAGATTCGAAAAACATGCCCAAATAGAAACGATCGAGCTCAGATAAGCCCTCCCCAGTGTTCGACGTGATCCCCGAGATTGCCCACACGGGAAAAGACCCAATGAAGAAATTCACACCAGCAAGGAAGACCGACCACCAACCCGCCGGATCAGAGACAATGCCGGAGAAGTTCTTCGAGCAGGGAGGGTTTTCACCTGGTGGAAGACGCGGGATCAGGCGCCCGCCCTTCCGAGAATCCCCTTGGGGTCATCATGTCATCGAAGAAGTCCTCTCCTCTATCCCTCTTTCTTTCCCCTAAGCTCTGCTCGCCCGCGTTTCCTCCCCAGTTCTCCGGCAGGTGGCTCTGCTCCGGGCGCTGTCGGAAAAGGCACCGCCGATGAGGAGGAAGAAGACTCCTTATGGGCCTCACTGAATAGCCCATTATTAAATTGGCCCATTAACCTTTGATTTGGGCCTTCTCGGTGAATGAATTCACTCTCGTTCTGAGAATTGATTCTGCCGTTTCACTTTCTGCGCATGCATTCCACATGAACCCCACGGAAAAACCTGTCCATGCACAACGACGAACGACAGAGCGCGTAGAGCAACTACCCGACGGTCTAAAGACAAGACCGTAGAGACGTCGTTGGCAAGCAGATAAGAAATGGAGAGAGATAGAGATAGAGATAGAGATAGAGATGGAGATAGTAGAGATAGAGAGAGAGAAAGATTGATTGAGTGACGTCTAAAGATGTCAGACAAAAAAATTAAAAAAAGGAGAGGGATAGCCTGAGGCTGACGGAAGTGACCTCTGTACAGGTCAATGGAGGCAAGATAGAGACGGATACACCTCGAAATATAGAGAGAGACACACACAGGTTTACAGAGAGATAGAGAGAGAAAGATAAATAGAACGTGACAGAGGCAGAGGGGCCCCATTGCGGTGCCCTCTGGGAGTAGGAAGACCGGATCCTTCCCCTCCTCCATCGGTATCCCTACGAGTAGGCAGGCCCCAGCGGACGTCAAATCACTCACCGCCCCGAGGGGCCACAGCGGTGGCTCGCCAGCCGACGGCGGCGGCGGCCGCCGGCAAGCCCGGCCCACTGGCTTATTTATCGAAAGGAACCCACCGACCTCACTCTGGGTTCTATCTTTAGATCGACAAGAGAGAGAGAGGCAAGCAGAGAGAGAGAGAGAGAGAGTCTGCATGGAGTGCTTCCCCCCAGTGGTCAACGATCCCACGGACGTGACGAGCAAGACGGCGTGGCACCTCTGTGACAGATCCACTCCAAAATTTCTATATATGACTATGTTTCTATCTCTATGTAATATTGGCATGCAGAGCATCCTATAAATAGGCCATTAGACTGGGGCTTAAACCTTACGAGTGAGCATGCCGACGGAAGAAGTACATGATCAGGGGAAGGAGCATGACGGTGGGAGAGGAGGCCTTGGCCTGAAACGCCCGTGTGGCACGTGTGGGATGTGGACGAAGGGGGACACGCTTCAACTGTGGGCGACGTGAAGAGAGAGAGAGAGTTAGGGGCACCGGGTGGGCCCGTGACAATAGAGATAATGCCTCACATTTTGGTTAAAATTGGCGCCATCTGATGGAACGCAGCGGACTAAGAAACTTGGAGAGAGACACGTAGATAATCGTCAATTGACTTCCATGAGAAGCCCTATAGTTCTGCCTAGTAGACGATACTTTTATTGTCATTTGACCCTGCAAAGATTATATTTACCCAAAAGTAAGGAAAAAAAGGGAAACATGGTAGTAAAATCAAATATAAAGCCATAATAATTTTTAAGACCCTAAAAATATTTTACCTGTGGATTTTTTAATTTATAGAGTATTTATTGCCCAAAATCAAACATATTGATGATGTCAAGTGGACCTAGTATACATAAGGCTGATTGGTGCACGTGGGAGAACTTTAGTCATTCAAGTGGTACCATATACTTTTTGGGACCCACAAAAAATATGCTAGAAATCCGGGGGGTGTGACCCAACTTTCTTCATTAGAAAATTGACCTCCTAAGATACATAAATACATATGTAGATTATAGATCCAATTAACTAGCTGAAGGAGCCCTAGACCTCAGAAAATAAGCTCGTCAACCATTGGGTTTTTCTGTTTTTTCTTGTCAACAAGGGTTTTCACTCAATTTGGAAAATTTAAGCGGATGGAATGAAAATATTTTGTGCATATTTTCGATCGAACATGCTAATGAGTAGTTTTAGGAGAGCATAGAAAAAAAACCTGGGGACACATTTATCATAAGAGTATAGTCTGTAGGGACTGAAATCCAAACAGCTCCATGTCTGCGAGCAGCCGAGGGAGTGTGCATGAGGTTTTTGAGGGTAATAATGAAGATCCTAAATTAATGAGGGTATATTGTAAAATTCTTTGACGATTACTGGCCGTTCCACTGGGGAAACTGATGAACGCTCATTGAGAGTGGGAAAGGGCACTCGAGGAAGATCTCGCCGGAGGCCGTGTCGGCGGACAGGGGTGGCGCCTGATCCCACACCGGGACGCCGTCGCCGGAACTCGTGGGGGGGCAGTGGAGGGCCGACCTCGGCGGCCACCGCGCCGCCGCAGCCTCCGCGTCTGACCTGAAGTCGTTGACGGCGCTCGCCGCCGAGAGCTTCATCGAGAGAAACTGCACCCAAACGGGGAAGAACCCCCCCAATGAGAGAGAAGAACGGCGGCGGAGAGGATACACTGCATAGAAACCTAACTCACCTCTATTTGGTTTTGCAGAGACTGGACGTAGTTGATTATCTCGTCCAGCAAAACAGCCGTCCCCATGGCCTGTTCATCGTCCGACAGGAAGAACAACACGAGAAACTGTAGGCTAAGAAATTTTTCAAGATCTCTCTTTCTCGCTATCTCTCTCTGCTTTCATGGTCACGGAAATTGCGAAGGAAGGGGAGGGAGAAGAGGATGTAGAGATGCGTTTATTACCTTGTAGCAGCCAGGGACGAGGTCCTGTAAGCATCTCATCTTCTCGTTTATCTTCTCCCTTCTCAGCTACAGCATATCAATAGCACATGATCATCAACATACATTTATCGATATATGTATTTTCTACCGTCCCTATGCTTGGGCTTGAGATCAACCCATGAAAGATAAAAATAAATTTTATTGTTCAAATGCCCGGATGGGCAAATTTAGTCTACTGTCTATAAAATTATGAGCCTAAATTTCAATATAAACTAATACTAACAGGTACGTACATAAGGTTAGCAATCGACGTAGTCTGAATCTATATCCTTCCCGTTATCTATCTATCAGCATCTGTGAATATATTTGTGTGGGAATAGTTTCAGTCATATGTAAATCATCAACTGTTTTAAATAAATTCTATGATCATACCCTTTCGGCTAGACTGTGGCTATCCGTGGCTTGGCCTCTTTTTGCCCTCACATGGACAACCTCCTTGGTCTTCATCTCCACCTCCCCTTCCTCCTCCTCTTCCTCCTCCTCCCCGCAGCATCTTCCTCTCCTCCCTCCTTTCCTTGAACTCTGAAATAGTTTTCAAGGGAATCCAGAGCAAACTAGCTAAGCTAATGTTAATAAGTGAATGTGCGAGCGGGGGAGGAGGGGTGCTGGGGAGGATGAGAGAATGGGAGGAAATTCGAAAGGAAAAACACTCATCGGGGAAGAGACACGGAGGAGAGGGTGTAGGGAGAGGCAGAGAGAGAGAGGTCTTAGAAAGGAACGCACATCCTTCTTCTTAGTTTTCACTCCTGCAGACGCAGCGCCTCCCGGCGCGGCGGCGCCGCAGGGTACAGTGACCGACTTTCTCCTCTTTCCTGCCTGGATGAACGGTAGCGGGTCCTGAACGGGGCACTGAGCTGGGAGGGAGACAGGCAGGTCGTCCAAGTGGGCCTCCGAGAAGCCGTAGCCGGAGTAACCGGCGAGTCCCAGGCTGCCGGAGTCCTCCATGGCGGCGGCGTCGAGCCCCAGGAAGCTGCCGGAGAAGTGTATTGCTGGGAAGCCGCTGAAATCCTCGGCAAACTCCGACGCCATCCTCAGCCGTAATAGAAAGGTGAACAATTGAGGGGGACTGAGGAAGTCCGTTTCTCCTCACCTCTTTAAATCCCCCCTCTGTTGCGGTGGGGACGGCCATGAACAGCTATTTCCATGAACGAGGAGACTAGTTGTCCATGGGGGCCCAACGGAAGAGGGTTTGGGCAGTGCGACCCCCCTGGGACCCACATTGACTGAAGGATTGAATTTGTAGGCACGGTCCTCTGGTGACCGTTACCCCCAACATGAACGGCGGCGGTGGACGCCGCCGTCGTGCTTGACTGGGGAAAACGGCGGCGGCCATAGTCTCCGTTTCTTCCTTCTCTCTCTCCTTAACGACAGGATGTGATGGGAACAAGCGAGAAAGGTTGGGGCCTACGGCTGGTCCTTGGTGTGGGCTGCTGCACGGTGCAACACGCTGTCGGATTAGAGCACCTCTACCTGACACAGCGGGAAAGAGATGGAGGGAGAGAGAATGCATATTTCTATCAAGAGAGAGATGGAAAGGCTGAGGAAGAGAATGCGAATATATGCAGGTAATTGTATAAAGAGAGAAGGAAAGCTAGAGAGTGGTGGCATGTATATATCTACATCCTTGTACAAGAGAAGAAGAAAGAAAGAGAGAGCGAGAGAGTACAAGGAGAGAAGCAGAACGAGAGAGAGAAAGAGAGAGAGAGGATTAACTATGTATAAAGAAGTCTTTAGAGAGAGAAAGACAATACGTTACATATAAGGAAATATTTAGAGATAGAGGATACTATACATATAAAGACGTATTTACATAGAGAGAAAGAGAGAGATAACTGACCTGCCGACTGTTGTTTGTTCTCATCATCTGTTAGGTCAAACCCAAGAAGGAAAGCCTAGGGAATGCTGTCCAGACATGGATTTCGTTGCTAGTGAGTAGGTCCTCGTCCCAGTCTCTTGTCCGTGCGGGCCACTTGACCGACCCTATCGATCAGCCGCAAAGACTCACTGCCCAAATGTGGATGATCCACGCACTACCTTCCAAGCAGTACCCACTTACATTAAGATAGGAAACTATAGGAAAAAGGACCCTGACTTTAGCTTTGCTATTTTCCATGTCATCTTTGAAGAAATACCCCCACTTAGACATGGAAAATAAGGACCACCAAACATTGCTTTTCATACTTTCCTAATCATCTTCAAAGCCATTCCCATCTAATTTATGAGAGGAAACTATAAGAAATGACCTGCAAAGTTTGGGCTATCATATCCTCCGTATCATCTTCACTTCACCAATCATTTGCTCTGGTTAGCTTGGGCCTGCGTTTCATCAGTGTCAGGCTCAAAACCCCGTATAAGGACTAAACTTCCCTCAACATGGATGACCTTTAAGCTAAACCCTCTGTTCAAACGGGTTTAGCCACATCTGGATTTGATCGGGATGCCCTGGTTGATACTGCCGCTGTAGAACATTGTTCGGAGAGTTAATGGTTCATCAACAACAATAGTTTAATTCATGAGCATGCACTTAATACTTAATGAATGATACCGTTGAACCAGGAAAATTGTACATCTATATATACACTTTATTATCTCATGTACATTTTAAAATTAATTAAATAGTCTCAGGATCGGACTTTCTGAGCATCGTCAAAGTTTAACTGTAATTAATAGGGTCAGGCTCAATTCGATTCATTTGGTTCAAACTCGGAAAAAAAGGAGGGAATGCATTTAGTTGAACATCTAACTTTACCTGAAGTAGAAAAGGCTAAAAACTAGTCTTTATAATAGACCCATGTGAAGACTATCCTTGTCTTGACCCTCCAATATATACATAAGAGAGAGAAAGGAACATTAGTCTCAATAAATACTGCCTTTGGGTTCTAGCCCTCATAACTTGACCCCATTGAAGCTTAGACTTGAGCCATGTAGAGAATGATCAAAAATTTATTTTTATTTTTGGGACTTCGATTTCGAAACCCACACTTAGAAAAAAAATAGGGATGGGACTCACATTGGAATGATTGACCATAATTAAGTTCAGTGAAAATGAGTGAACCAACATCTTTAAATTCTGACCACATGCTCAATCAATGGCAATAAAGGCCACCATTTGCCCTGACCTATCCCCTTGGGAATTCAGAAGAACAAAGGTTGACTTTTAGGTCACCCCGGTGTTTTTCCCTATTCTTCATCGTAAATTCAAACAATCAGCGGGATCTTGTTACATCGCTTGGGTGAACGGAGCAAACCCAACTTGTCCCTGTTCGGTCAAGTTGGGCAATAAAGTTCATCAACCATCTGGCCTTCGTCAACGTGAAGATCTCCAAGGTGGGGGCGTGTATTAATTGGCCGCCGACAAATTTAAGTACCTTGGTAGGTCCTTATAATATAATGATCATAATGTTGTTAAAGCCAATCCTCCCCTTATTAGAAGGATCAAGATCGTTGATACCAGGGGGAATACTGGATCCCACCCAATGCTGTCTGTATGGTTCTACCTCCCCCCACTCCCCCTCATTCACCACGATCTCCAATGCCAGTCCTGCTGCTACCGTTAGAATATGATAAAGCATGCCAGCACGCATGATTTAGGGCACTTGATGAGAAAAGGAAGAAATAGTTTTGATTGTAAGTACTAATCACTTAGTATATTAAATTTTAATATCATTAAATAAATTCTGTAATAGTTACTACTTTTTTGTGTATGTACTTCTTTTTAACACAATTTGAGACTTCCCATAGATCAACAGATCTGTCTGATCCTATCCTCATCCAGACTAGATCAGGCATGGCCGATCAACCAATACCAGTTATCATGCATGAAAGAGTTATGTAGAAGTCCAGTAGTAAATCTCAATTGACATTTTAGTCAATAAAATAATTGGCATAGGGTTCTTAATTTTAATTAAAATAGCACTTCCAGTCTTTCAATTTTAGGCGGATTCACTTGGATGATCTTCCCCTGGCTATTGAGAAGGTTACACACATGGATAAATTATTGTCAATACACTTTCTATAAATTAGTATTTTTATTTTATTTCATGCAAGGGATATTCATATCTTCACAATTTTAATTTTTATTAAAATTATGAAACCCAATGAAAATAAATAAACACAATTTTTAATTAAAGTCAGCTAAAAAAAATCGTGTGGATGATGCTGTTGTACGTTTCTTTCCCTTAATCAACTGCATAGCTCCATCCACATTTCCTTTGCTATTGTACGTTTCTTTCCCTTAATCAACTATTGCAATGTGACTAACTGTTCAACTGTGGTTAGGTCTTTCTCTAATGGCCAAAAGTCTAGTATTCTCCTCATGATATTTCCATAAAATTATAATGGAACACACATTTGATAAAATAAACATTCTAAGATATAAGGACAGAATTATATGTACCTTACATTCCACGATAAACATTCACACAGAGTTTATGGTGATACAAATAGATGCCATCCTAAGAACATTTTTGCCAAGTGCTGAAAGAAATGCATGGGGGTTGTATCTGTGATGACGCAAGAGGACTCAAACTGCAACATCCTTATGAACCAATCAATCACAAGCCATGATATTTAAGAAAGCTGTAAGTTGTCAAACCCAGAGATCATTAACTACGTTTGACATACAACGGCTGATGATCTAAGAGGTTGAATTTGGCATAATGAACCAGACTATCAAAAACTTATCTCATCACCTATTATCATCCTAACTTTCCTTCACCGCTCGCGTCAAGGTTTTGACCTGGATCATGTGATTTGGATTAGTGCATGGTTTAAGCCTCTATAGTATAATCCAAATCATGTAAATAAATAAAAAGGGAACGAAAAAACGAGAGAAGCACCTGGATAAATGAGATTGTGAGATAAACAACAATATTCCGGCGCCCAGGTAGATCTGGCTTCTTCAATCAGATAATTAACACCCACGATGAACAGTTTGACGTGGGGACCCTGTGTAATAGCTGGTCAATAACTCTTAGTCACGGGATACAGAAGGCCATAGACGAGTGACTGGGCTAAGTACCACCAGAAATGGTATCCTCTATTCTTGTTTTGAGATTGCTCGCAATGCTGCGGCTATGCCACATCACACCGCCACCTTACGGTATTTAGTTGCGATTTCTTTAGAATTTATAATAAATAAAGTTTTCGGTAAGAGCCAAAAATTAATTCATGAGGGTGCTTGCACTGTTATTTTTTTCTATTATAATGCGATAAAACTATAAAATAGTCTCAGATAGAGAAGGATAGGTTAGATCCTCAAGTTAAAGTCATCGGTCTACCCTCCTCTCGAATATATCTTATGATCCATTGCCAATATATCGACTCATAATGCACCATTAGAAAGCTTCGCAGTGGCCTGCTTCTTAATCTTACTTAGGCATATTTTCTTCAGATTGCTCTTTGAGGTGCCGATACTTTGGCTGAAACCAAACGCAGAATAATGGCATACCCTGCTGCGCTAGGTTAGCAGATTAGCCTTTCGATGATATATTGGCAGGCGCAGCAACGTCCGATGATTTTCTGGGTAGACATGCGGCAGGAAACCTAGCTTCGTACAATTGCGCCCTGATCCGGTTACTTCAGTAATAGGAAAACTAGACATAATTATGATGTAAATTTCCAAAGCAACCAAGGAACCGCTTCAGAAAAAGGAAAACCCCAAATGATCCGGTTCAGCATTTCCGAGCATACCTGAGCATCATCAGAAATAAAAATGGTACGTAAATGGGACTAGGATCTGCTTTAGATCATCGAGAAATTTTCAAAGTTTAAATGAAGTGCAAATTGTAGTTCTACTCCAAAATTATTCCTTCCAATGCATGGGAAAAATGACTACAGGCTTTCCTCTTGAACACACGAGTTTTTCTTTCCACACTTTTTTACTTATATAACTTATATCTATTGTTTATTTTTAAATTTATCATTTCTTTAGCACCCTTTTCTTGGTTCATTTAAATTTGGTTCATTCCAACTTACTACAGTAATTTTTAGTTGTATCCTTGTGAAAGATGAACATGCTTCATCAAGTG